AGGCCACCGCAGGGCGTGCCCGGCCCGGCCGCCGGCCGCTCCGGGCGAAGCCAAGGCGAAGCCACCGAGCCAGTGAGCTACCGGTCTTGGAGGGCCCAAACGAAAGGCCGTCGTGTCTCGTTCCATACTTTACTGCCGTGCGTTTCATATCCAAACACATGAAACGTCCGCGCCGTTTATCGCCTGGGCGTGGACCGATCGACCAATCGCAGGGCGCCGTTAGATTGAGCCCTCGGACACCGAGCACCTGCGGGAGGAGCGTCGACGGCCGAGTGCAGTCCTCTCGTTTCTTTTCGTCTGCAGTGTATCTGCATAAATTAATCCCGTGTCAGACGGTATGTGTGAGATGAGACACCCACAAGGGGGCCCCCTCGGGCCACGGGGGCCACGGGGGCCACGGGGGCCTCAGGAGGCGATTCTCCCAAATTAGGACGCGACAAAATAACCGTAGATAGAGAGGAGCCGGTCTGGCTGCTATAGGCACCTGCCCTCCCCCTCCCCCTCCCCCTCCAGGCCCTCGCCTTGTTAGAACGCGACATACGACTGGAACGAAGCGGCCCGCCAGTCGGCCGGTGGTACCGACGTCCGAGCAACAGGCCAGGAGCTCGTCGGGGAGGATGCTCGATGCTCGGGCCTGGAGGAACCCGTCGGGGGGACCGAAGGGAACCGAAGGAACGATATGCGCGCCACTGTAGGGAGTCGGGTGTTTGCCCGCGGCGCCAAGCAGTGGATAGGATAGACTAAGCAGCGCCTAAATTGCGTAACTGGCGAGTGGATCTTGACCGAACCAAAGCTCCAGAAAGCTGGCTGCTTTTGGTTTGTTCCCCGCACAAAGGCGGCGGTTCGAGCGTACAAAATTTCACACACCTCTGGCCTTTCACACAAACAAACACACCAACACACACACACACACACTCACCAACACACTGTCCGGCCGCACCGCTTTCATTGAATGCCCCATATTTGGACGACCACACGGAACAATCGGTGCTTCTGTGTGCGATGCGTGCGATGCCAGGCGAAGGCGATGCATGTGCAGTGTGCCGCGCGCGAGGAGGAGAAGATGAGATCGAGAAGAATGCCTGCAGCAGCCCTTGTCTTGTCCACCGCGCCGCCGCCCAGCCGAAAATCCCGGTTACGGTTCCGAGTACGGTTACGACCGGGATACGATTCCGACCGGGATACGATTCCGGCCGGAATACGATTACGACCGTAATTTCGGACATTTCCGGTTACGACTACGATCGTAACCAGGAAGGGTTTACGACCGTAACTGACCATTCCGGTCGGAGTACAAAGTGTCACAAGACATCAAGTTTTTCTTCTGTTTTGCTCCGTCAAGCAGGGATCCGCGTTTATAGCGTACAAAATTTCACACGCCCTTTTGACTTCAAATAAAGTACCTCACAAGATGACACAACGCTAGACTTAAAACCAACACTTTTTGGTCCGGCCTCCCCCGCATTTCCCATCGAACCCGGAATTTGGTCGAACCGGAACGAGTCGGTGCTTCTGGCGATGCGTGCGATGCCAGCGAAGGCGATGCATGTGCGGTGTGCCGCGCAACGGAGGGGCGAAGATGAATGGGAAAAGAATGCCTGCAGCAGCCCTTGTTTTCGGCTGGGCCCCCGCGCTCCGAAACTATATTTATTATGGCGTTGTGTGGCGCGCCTAGGTTATGGCGCTCCGCCGTTGGGGCAGGCGGCACACAGTGGGCCAGAAGACCGGTGCACACACATGTGTGTGTGTGCTGTTTTTGTTTTCGTCCTTCGGGGACATTTTGGGCGGGTCCGCACGCCCGGCCCGATTAGGAGCTTGGCCGGCGGGCGGACTATACTCGCTTACAGCGTGCTGACAGGGCCCTACCCCCCAGCAGCCGTACGAGTGGAGCGCGGGCGGAGCCGCGAGCCGAGCCGAGCCGAGGCCGACGGGGCGGGCGACCACCCCGCGGGCGACGCCGGGCAACGCATGCACACGACGCCGTGCTGTCGTCCCTGTCGTCCGTGGCAGCCCAATGGGAGAGAGAGAGAGAGAGAGAGAGAGAGAGAGAGAGAGAGAGAGAAGAGAGAGAGACGGCGGTGGATTGCAGGTTGGGCCTGGCGAAAGCTTTGTCTGACGGCGAGGCGCGCGCCACAACAGACCGATTCCGAGAGTCGTTTTCGTCGCGCTGTCTCTCTCGCACCCGTATGAGGCGTCCCATCTGGGTGCGAGAGAGACAGAGCGACGAAAACGACTCTCGGAATCGGTCTGCAGCACGGCACGTCAACCTGCAATTATTATCATGTTGCCGTGATGCGGTGCCGCGCGGTGCCGCGTTTGCGGCTCGACTTGATTGAGATGCAGCCGGCGGCGTGGCGCGCCGTGGCGGGGGTGGCGCAAGCCTGGCTAGCCGCGCAAGCCAGCCGACGCAGCGCACTTACGTCAAAGTAATTGACGGCTTAGCAAGTACGTTTGTCTTGTTTCGCGCTCCGCCCGGAAACACGCCTCACAACGACGGCGACTTTGTTGCGATCTACCAGCTGTCAAGTACTGTACAAAAATGAAAAATGATTTTTTTCTCGGAGTGCAGTTTGGGGGATTTGAACCACCGACCCGCAGGTCGCCGTCCGCTACCGCTGACCACTCGGCCACGCGCGTGCGCCGCGGCGGTGCGTGGGCTGGCCGTCCATCATTGATTGTCCGGGAGTGATTTACCGACCGGTCGAGCCGAGTCGCACGCGTTCTAGTTTACAAATCCTCCCATCCCATCGTTCCCTTCCGTCCCGGCCGGTCCACTCGGCTCTGCCCAGCTCCGCCGCACTCCGTCTTTTCGCCACTCTGGCCGAGACTTTGGCCGGGATGCGGGAAATTGCAGGCCTTTTTCACGCGGGCGTGGCGGCCTGGCTTTTAATTTCCGAGTGGCCCCTGCAGGCTCGTCCCCGGCAGTCGCTCTGTCTCTGTCGCACTCGTGGGGCGGGCCGTTCAGCGCGAGACGGCCTAAGTGTGGGTCTTGGCACGCGGCCGGGCAGCCGCCAGCCCGCCTAAAGCCCGCCGCCCCGCCGCTACCGACATGACAGCCGGTTAAGTTGTCACCCCGGCTATCGATCAACCCGGCCGTTGCATTCGATAGCCGTTCGATAGCTCGCTCGCGCCTCGATTGCCGTCTGGACCACCTCGTCAATGTTGCGGGAGACGGCCGCACAGTGGGCCAGAAGACCGGTGGAGGCGGCCAAAACTCTAGACGCGTTTTGAGCTCCAGCGTCGCTAAATGGGACTCGAATCGGACGTGTGACCCCACCAATGGATTGCCCTCCGAACGAGGAATCCATTGGTGGGGTCACACGTTCGGTTCGAGTCCAATTTAGCGACTCTGGAGCTCATAACGCGTCTGGAGTTTTGGCCGCCTCCACCGGTCTTCTGGCCCACTGTGGGCCGGTCTTTCGGCCCACGCGGGCGCTAGACAAGGACCGATCCGGACACCTACGTGCCGTGCCGTGCCGTGCCGTGCCGTGCCGTGCCAACGGGACGGCGTTAAAGCGGGTCCGCTTTATAATAGGGACACACTGCCAAAAACAACCGAGAACGGGCAAACCGCGCGCTCGTTGCGACTGCACGTCCGCGGCGGCCTTCTTGTTGTTGTTTTTCCTTTTTCCGCGGCGCGCCACGGGGGACGCTACTACACTGGTGGCGGCTCGCGCGGCCGCGCGGTTTACAGCCGACGGCCGAACTGCCAATTCCTTTCGCGTTATTCGAGCCAATTTGTGAGACGCTGCCGCTCCGCCAAGTGCAACGAGTGCGTGTGTGGGAGTCTGTCTCTCTCTCTCTCTCTCTCTCTGTGTGTGTGTGTGTGTGTGTGTGTGTGTGTGTGTGTTGTGTGTGTGTGTGTGTGTGTGCGTGCGCGCGCGCGCGCGCACACGAGTGAGCGAGTGAGCGAGTGAGCCACGCCAGCCAAAAGCAATACGACGATGGCACTGGTAATCTCGCGCAGACCAGCGTGCCGCCCGCCAGGACGACTTTACGCGACAGTGTGTTTGCTCTGGCGGTAAGTAACGGGGGGATTACGGTGTACCAGAGCACGGCGGCTCCTAGGCCTCTAGCCTGCTGGGCCAGCGGCCCCCACCCGCCCCGCAAGCGGAGCCTGGGGGTCCAACTTCTTGCGGTCGGCGCCCAAAGCCCGGCCGACGCCGCCCCGTTTGGCGCCCAGGGCGTGGCGTGGCGCGGCGCGGCGCCATCAACCTGATTATGTCTAGATTAATTAGCTAATCGAGACGCGGAGATGGAGACGCCCCGTCGTCGCCATGGTGATTGGACAGCCGGCCGAATCGCCTCCCTTTTTGGGCGGACTGTACCGCCGGCGCCAGGCCAGGCAAGCCACGCGCGCTTTTTTCCGGCGTCCGGCGTCGCGTCGCATCGCGGGTACAGTCCGTGTGACAAGCACCCTCACAATCACCATTGTGGGGCGACAAAGACGACAATGGGCGGACGGACATGCCGACACGCCCCCCGCGGCCGCCCTGCCGTCCCGCCGCCCTGCACCGCCCCAGGGCCCCGTCTCGGTTCCGGCTCGGTCCGGCTCGGCTCGGTCCGGCTCGGCTCGGTCCGGCTCGGTCCGGCTCGGCTCGGCTCGGCTCGGCCCGGCCGGACCGGAACTGCCTCCGCGGCTGTCATCCCGACCAGGAAGCCCCGGCGAATGAAAAGCCGCGTACCTTTGCTTTCGATTCCCAGTGGCGGCACCGCGGGCCGCCGATTCGAGCCGCGATTTCGTCGCTCTGTCTCTCTCGCACTCACGGAGCGTGCCGCAGGCGCGAGAGAGAGACGGAACTTGCAGCGGGGAATAGTAGCGATGCAAAGGGAGCAGCCATATCGTCCGCCACTGCACTGTTACCCTGCCGGTGAATCTCCCCGTCCCCTTTCTGCAGTCACTCGACTCGCCAAAACTTGCCACTCTTGCACGCTCCGCGCTCCGCTCCGCGCTCCGCCCCCGCTCCACTGGGCGATGCTCGGCGAGAGGGGCGCTGCAGATGGAGCGGCACTGTAATGAGGGTGGCGTGCTCGACCTGCGCGTCGAGGCGTTTTCCAGTGTCGGCGTCGACAGAGGTGTGCACTGACAGACAGACATTTTTCCGGACAGAAGTGGGATTTTTCCCGACAGAAAATTCAATTTTTTTCGAACAAAAAAATTCAACTTTTCCTGATAGAAAAATGCAACTTCTCCCATTGAACCAAGGAATTTTTTAAGAGCGAGTTTTTTCTTTGTGCTGGCCATGGTCTTGACCCTGCTTTCTGTCTGTTGCAGGCGTGCTGGCGGGCGACACGCGCGCGCCGCGCATCACCGAGCACCCCGTGTCGGCGGCGGGGCTGCGCACGGACCCCATGACGCTGCGCTGCCAGGCGGACGGCCGGCCCGCGCCCAACGTGACGTGGACCAAGGACGGCAAGGCCCTGGAGGTGGAGCTGCAGGGCGGCTTCTCGCACCGCGTCGTCCTGCCCGGCGGCAACCTCTTCTTCCTGCGCCTCGACCCCGCCGACGCCGGCGCCTACCGCTGCGTGGCCGACAACGGCGTCGGCGACCCCGCCGTGTCGCGCGAGGCAACGCTGGAGGTCGCCTGTGAGTACTCCAGCGCTACTTCAGTGCTTCAGGCCGGATGGGCTGCCTACCTCCACGGCGCTGGCTCGCGGCCGGGCGGCGGGGCGTCCGCTGTAACGCTGGCCCTGCTTCCTACTGCTTCCGGCTGGGGATGGACCATAAAGGGGCTGCCCTGCGCCCTCTGCTTTGCCCCTGCCCCGGCCCTGCCCGCCTCGGCAGACACTTCCCGTCGCCTTCCGGCGAGTTTATGATGGGGATCCGCGCGGGGAGTGATCCGGCCCAGACAATGTTCGCGGCGCGACGCCTACTCGGCCGGAAAAAAAGATCGCCCAGCGGGTGTTTGAACCCGCGGCCGGCTGTCGCGCACGCGGCGCCGCGACGACAGGGTTAGTGGGGCGGGGGGCGCTTTGGCGGCGTTGCAGGCGTTGCAGGCGTTGCAGGCCGAGGCGACGAAGGGTGGCGACGGCGACGGCACCTTGATCCTCCCCGCCCCCGTCATGGCCCTCACGGCCCCCGCCCTCCCGGGCCCGCCCCGGCCTCTCCGGGATGAGTAGCGGGCCGGCGCTGCAGTCGTCAAGATGGTCGTCAGCGTTTTACGACGGGCCGTCGCGTCGCTGCAGCGCTGCAGTGCACCCCCCTGCACATGCAGTCCGCCAGGCTCGCCGGCAGTCTCTCTGTCTCTGTCGCTCTCATGGTGCGCGCCGTAGAGGTGCGAGAGAGACGCAACGACTCCGCGCCCCGCCCCGCCGCGCCGGGCTGCAACGCACTTCCTCCTCGTCGCCGTGCTTGGCCTCCTCCTCGCCCTCCCTGCAGGGCCTCGGCATCTTCGCGGCTCGTTCATTCCACCGCGATGAAACGCCGCAAACGCCGCGTGTGTGTGAGGGAGGGAGTGTGTGTGTGTGTGTATGAGTCGATCGAGCTGTCTGCACGTGCGTCACGGCGAACAACATTTTGCAGTGCCGCGCTGCCGGCCACTGTCCCGTTTCGCGCTTCGCGTTTCGCACCGCGTATCCTTCTCCACCTCGTCCCAGCCGAGACTAGCTAGACTGCCGAGACTCAAGGGGCAGCCGACGGACGGCGCGCAGACGCTACGACTAACTTTTCAGGACGGGCCCGGCCGGGCCGTCTGTGTTGTATCCTGGCCGGCGTCCTGACCGTGCCGACCTAACCGCCCAATAATGTTTTTAGTGGGGCGGTCGACACTGGCCGACCCTCCCCTCCCCCTCCCCTCCGCCTCCCCTCCCCTCCCCTCCCCTCCCCCTCCCCTGGGCAGTAAACGTGGTTTATCGACGACCCCCTGGAGACGCGCTTTCGCCGACCCCGACCGTGGGTGCGCCGCGGTGCGCTAACGAGTCACGCTAGAAAGTAAATCCAGTGTAGGCAACCGCCGGGTCGGGTCGGGCCGCACCCCCATCCCCATGACTCCTCGTCTTCGGGCCCGCATTCAATTTGCCTGGGAATGGCGCGGCCGGCCAGGCATGTCCAGCACCCCGTGCTGGGGGTCACCGAGTATACGAAGCACCTTAAAAAACGGGCGCGCCCTCACTACCCGCTCGTAAGGTGCGGCCAACGGCGGGGCGGTGATATTGCGGGCGTGGCGGGAAATTCAAATGACGCGGTGCGAGTCCAGGCCGGGCAGGCCAGGATGAGCGAAGTCCGGCGGCGGCGACTGCACTTTGCATTCCAGTGCCGCCGCCGCCGCCGCCGCCGCCGCGTCGTCTGGCCCGCAATTCACCGCTCCAATCCTGGGCGCCGCCGCGAAGGGTCAGTGCGGCCGAGGGAGGACGGCGGCGACGCCCAGGAACGCGCCGACTCGAATAAAAGGGAATTGTTTTGAGGCGGCGGGGCGGCGGACGGGGGCCTGGCTGGCGGGGCGCCTCGCTATGACGGCCTCGTGATTTGTCGCGCTCCCCCCCCCTCCCCTTCCGCCCGCCCGCCCGCAGGGAGTCACGTTCCGCCCCGAGCCCCGCGGATTTGGCCGGGGATCGTCCGCGTCGTCGGCCGACCAACACGCCCTCCACGATGAGTTATCGGGGGCGCCGAGCCGCGCCAAGCCGGCGGGGGTCGGCGGCGGCAGTCTGCATCCAGCGTGTCTCCCATCGGCCTCCCCTACCTCGCTGCGTCTCTCTCGCACCCTCACGGGCCGCCCCGTGAGTGCGAGAGAGACGGTCGAACGACGGCGTGCTGAGTGTCCCCCTTCACTTGCAGACCTGAAGCACGAGTTCCGCGCGGCGCCGACGTCGCAGATGGTGACGGCGGGCGACACGGTGCTGCTGCAGTGCGGCCCGCCGCGCGGCCGCCCGGACCCCGCGGTGCAGTGGCGGAAGGACGGCCGGCGTCTCGATGTCGACGAGCACGGGCAGCACGGCGACCGCCAGCCCCGCCTGCGCCTCGTGGACGGCACCAACCTGGCCATCCGCGACGCCCGGCCCGCCGACTCCGGCCGCTACCAGTGTGTCGCGCAGAACGTGGCCGCCACCCGCGAGTCCCCCGAGGCCAGCCTGCAGGTCGCCGGTGAGTGTATACATTTTCCAAGTTTTACAGTGTGCGAGTTCAAAGTGCTTAAAACTCGTGTTTGGTTGACGCAGTGCCGCCGCACTTCGTGACGCGGCCCTCGGACACCACGGCGCTGCTGGGCTCCTCGGCGGTGCTGCGCTGCGAGGTGGCGGGCGACCCCAAGCCCTCCGTCAAGTGGCACCGCGGCGGCCACGGCCAGCACGGCCAGCACGGCAACGCCTCGGCGCGCCTGCACGTGCTGGCCGACCGCGCGCTGCGCATCACCGCCGTGCGCCTGGCCGACGCCGGCGTGTACGTCTGTGACGCGGACAACGGCGCCGGCGTGGTCAGCGCCTCGGCCACCCTCAGCGTCGTCTGTGAGTGTCTCCCTGGAATCGGTACACTGTGTGTTGTCTGGGGGACTCATCGAGGTGCCTGTTGCAGCCGAGCCGACGCTGGCGCCGGCCCCGCCGAGGGTCCTGCGCCTGGAGCCCGACTCGACGGCCACGCTGCGCTGCGGCGCGCGCGGCACGCCCGCCCCCCTCGTCACGTGGTCCGTCATGGGCAACCGCACCGCGCTGGTGGCGGGCCAGGCCGTGGACCGCCTCTCCGTGTCCAGGGACTCCACGGGCGCCGCGGTGGCCACGCTGCAGCGCGTGACGAGGGCGGACTCGGGGCGCGTGTTGGTGTGCGCCGCGGTGAACGGCGCGGGCGCCGCCGTGAGCCGCACGCGCCTCGTGGTGCTGCCCGGCGAGCAGTGGCCGCCGCCCGTCGTGGTGGCGGGGCCCAGCAACGTCACCATGCCGCCCCGCTCCACCGTGGCCCTGCCTTGCAGGACGGCCTCCAGCGCGCGGCCGCGCGCCGCCACCACCGTCGCGTGGCTCAAGGACGGACAGCCCGTGCGGGCGGCCCCGCCCAGGGTGCAGCAGGCCAGCTCGGGGGCGCTGCAGATACAAGGTGAGCCTGGCATAGCCCGTAGTGGTAATGGTAATGGCGGTTTAGGCCGCGCGGCGGACGGGGAAGCACGTTGGGTTGCCTATCCCGCGATTCACAGGCGTCCCTTAAGCGCTGCTGAAACGACCCAGTTCTTTCAACGAGTCCTGTTGATCTTCGTCATTCCAAGGACCTAACCGCCTCCCTCCCTTGCAGACCTGCAGCCCGGGGACGCCGGCGAGTACACGTGCGTGGCGTCGTCGCGGAGCGGCCGCTACCGTTGGCGCGGCGTGCTGCGCGTGGCCGCGGACGGCGGGGCGGTGCAGCGTGCCCCCGAGCCCGCCGCCCTGCCCGGCGCGCCCGGCCCCGTGCGCGTCAACGCCACCGAGCAGGCCGTCGTGCTTTCCTGGCAACGCAACGCCAAGGTGGGGTCGTCGACGCTGCAGGGCTACGTCGTGGAGGTGCTGGCCCGGCCCGCCGAGGAGGTCGCCGTCGACCTGCCCACCTGGAGCACCGCGGCCCGCCTGGCCGCCACCGCCACTTCGTACTCCTTCGCGCCGCCCAGCGACGCCGCGGAGTACCTGTTCCTGGTCCGTGCGCTGAACGCCCACGGGCTGTCGCCGCCCTCGGAGCTGGTGGGCCCAGTGGCGCGCGGCGCTGACGGCCGCTGGGCGGAGCGCGGCCACGGCTGGTTCACCGGGGGCAGAGGCAGGGACGACGACGGTGGGGAGGGGGAGGGGGACGCCGGCGACGAGGACATGGCCGACGTACAGGTGAGGCACGGGCCAGGGCCAGGGTTCGAATCCCACCCGTCTTATGAAGTTTCAATTTCACCCTAAATTTGCTTGATTTGTCACAGGACGCGCTGGACCTCGCCCCCGTGGTGAGGCTCACGGAGGTGGTGGTGGCCTCGCCCACGTCCGTCAAGGCGCTCTGGGACGTGCTGGACCCCGACCAGGTCGAGGGCCTCAGCATCTACTGGTGGGCCGAGGCCGGCGCGGAGGCCAACCAGACCGACGCCGCGGACAACGCGGTGGCCCTGCAGTCCCTGACCGTGCAGACCCACGGCGGGTCGGAAGCGGCCTCCTCGTCGTCGCTGGGCCTCGGCCTCGGCCTCGGCTTCCTGGTGACGGGCCTGCGCTGCTACACCGAGTACCACTTCTTCCTCGTGCCGTTCAACCAGCAGGGCGAGGGCCGGCCCTCCAACTCGGCCAGGATCAGGACGCTGCCTGGAGGTAGGCGGACTCCAAAGTGAGCCCCTTTGTGTTTTTGTCTCTGCCTGTACCAACGGGTGTTCTCGTTTTGGCCGCAGCCCCGTCCGCGCCGCCGACGCGGCTCGAGGCCACGCTCATCAACGGCAGCACGGCGCTGGTCAAGTGGAGCGCGCCACCCGCGCACTTCCAGAACGGACCCCTGCAGAGCTACCAGGTGCCACGCATTCCACCACATGCCTTCCACACATTTCAAATCAGAAAATGGAGAAAAATTTGGAACTCTTCGCCCCCTCCCCAGTCTCTCCCTTCGCTAACGCGTGTCGTTCCCGCAGGTGGTGGTGCAGGCCGGCGAGCCGCCGGAGCTGGTGAGCAACGTGACGCTGTCCGAGGACAGCGCGCTGCAGCTGCTGCTGTCCAACCTGTCGCACCACAGCGCGTACCACGTGAGCGTGGCGGCGGCCACGGCGGCGGGGCTGGGGCCCTTCAGCGCGCCCCTCACCGTGCGGCCCACCCTGCCCCTCGGCCAGCACCACAGGTACGTCCAGTGGCGGAGCCAGAAGTTGCCTTAGGGGGGGGGAGCAGTGGCCTCTCTCTCTCGCACCCCCTGACACCGGCTTCGGTTGCAGGCACGACGCGGAGGGCGGCGGTGGCGGCAGCGAACTGCTCACCGAGACGTGGTTCATGGCGCTGCTGGGCAGCATGGTGGCCGTCATGGTGCTGCTGTTCTCCGCCATCATCTTCCTGCACCGCCGCCAGCACCGCGCCAACAAGGAGACCTTCCTGGGCTTCTACGGTGAGGAGAACCCCGAAACCCCGCGATCTCTGATCAATGAAAGTCCCAAGTACACGCCAGTGGCATGCCACACTGGCGTTTCGCCAAGGTCATGTTGCGCAAGGCTCTGCCTAAATTGCCGGCCGCGTGGTGCGCAACTGTACCTACACTGTGGCGCCGGGCCGCCGGCCTGTATTCCCCGCGCGGTGACTCAGGCCGACTGGCGGAAGGGTGCACGCGGTACACTCTCAGCCAAAACTCCGCCGGGGTTCGAGTTCTGCAACACGCCTCTGTTCGCAGACTGCGGCGCCAACGGCCCCGTGCTCACCACGCCGCTGACGCTCAAGGCCTCGGAGGGCATGCCGCACCCGCTGTCCGCGCCACTGTCGCCGCCGCTGTGCCTCGTGCCCCAGGACACGTACGGCGCCAAGTACCGCGGCGTTTCGCCCGGCGCGCACCCCCTGCACTCGCCCCGGGGCCACGTCGTCGAGGACCTCATGCTGCCCGAGTACGCCGAGGCCAACGACGCGCAGTACGACGGCAGCATGTCGCAAGGTGCGCGCGGAGCCCTTGACGTCTTAACCGAACGGTGTTGAAGTTCAACCGGCTGAATGTTCCAACGAACGTTTGCAGGGTCAGCCAGCAGCAAGTCGTACTACGCCGAGGTGCGCAACCCGCACATGATGAGCACGTTCCAGTCCGCGGCCCACGCGGGGGCGGGCGGCTCCCACGGCGGCTCCCAGGGCAGCCAGCGCACCGGCACGGGTAGCAGCTACGGTGGCGCGGCCCCCTATACCACCACCCCCTACGCCACCACCACTCTAGTCTGCAGTGCGCGGACGGCCAGCACCGCGCCCTGCTCGTCCGGCTCCACCGTCAGTATCTCAGTCTTTTTCGTCGCTCTGTCTCTCTCGCACTCGTGGGGGGCCTCTCATAGGTGCGAGAGAGACAGAGCCGAGAGAGACAGAGCCTTAACTTGAACTGTGTCGTCGGCAGAGCTGGAGCCAGGACAACGATCGCGGGTACCCGCAGCCGTCGTACTCGGACCACGACAGCCGGCCCGGCCTGGCCAGCGCCGCGCCGCAGTGCTCCGGCCACTACGACAACTACAACAACTACGGGTCGCACGCTGGTGAGTCTCGCGGGTTCGAATCCCCCTTTTCCTCGTTTTCGCCCGCCCTCACGGTTCGACCCGTCCCTTGCAGGCAGCCACTCGCCGCTGGAGCACCGCGACGCCGCCGCCAGCCTGCAGCCGCGGTGTCCGGGAGGGCCGGGGTCGAACCGCTGCCAGAGCGCCGCCAGTGGAGGCAGTGGCGGCACGGCGGGGACCTTGGGCCGCGAGAACCGAAGGCTGAAGCTGTTACGGAGACAGGTACGAGGACCCTCCAGTGGTCAACCAAATTCTTGAATTTTTAATCACTCGCACAACCGATGCACCTTGCTGCCACCTTGCTGACGGTGGTCTTCTCCTCCAGCAGCACAACCGGCCCGGCCACGCCAAGGGGCTGCCGCCGTCCGGGACGCAGTCTTCGCAGCTCCAGCTCCTGCTGCGGTCTAGTCCGTCCAGCTCCCGCAGCGGCAGCACGCACGGCGAGGGCGGCTCGCCCCCCGAGGACGAGCACGCCGAGCACGCCGCCATGACCCCCCTGCGCCAGGAGGCCAGCGACTACCACAGCAGCAGCAGCGGCAGCAGCGGCCGGCGGTACGGCAGGGGCGCGCGGCCCCAGCCCCGGCCGCAGGCGCCGAGCGTGGCCTACAGTGGCTTGCCCCGGCGGGGGCCGTGACCGCCACGACGGCCTTGCCCGGCCTTGCCCGGCCACCACCTTGTCGACGAGCGCGACGCGACGGCTTGCCATTTGCTGGCCATTTGGGAGCGCGCTTGGAGGGACGTGCTCGCGGCGACTGTGATACGCATTCCGCTTCGATCGGATTTATTTATTAATTGGGGCGGGGCGACCTTCGACCCCGCCGCCGTCGTGGTCCCTGCGCTGGAGGCTGGATAGGGGAGCAGACCCAAAGAGTCACACTATTTTTACCGGCTGCTTCTGAGGCTCACGCGTTCCTTGAACCAAATGACTTCCCTGCTAGTGAGAGATCTTTTTGTGTGCATGCCCACACAATGTAATAGTTGAAGACTGTTGACTTATTATGACTGCCAAGCAGTTGCCGTTATATTATTTTGCCCCTGCTGTGATTGTTTTCCCTGTGTTTTAGATATTAATTGAATGTTTTGTAGGTCTAAGATTATTTTTACCATGCTTTTGAAGCTGTTTAATTTAATCCCACTTGGTTGCCAGTATTCGCGGCACAGCCTCATTGTTGTTCATTGAATTAGAACCACTACTTTTAGAAAACAAATTGATTCTGTCTGGACATAAGCTTTACAACAGAACATTGTCTGAAATTTTTTCACCAATATTGTATAGTCTATGTATTAAATTAGACCCATTTTTTTTAATGCTGCCAGCATAGAGCTCTGTAATATATGTAAACATTGCGTTTTTTTTTTAAATTAAACAATTTATTAAAGTTGCGAGTCTTTGATTTCATATCACTGTGTCCCGGAGGCAGGGCCGAGTACGCACAGTGGGCCAGAAGACCGTTGGAGGCGGCCCAAACTCTAGACGCGTTTTGAAACCGGACGTGTGACCCCACCAATGGATTCCTCGTTCGGAGAGCAATCCATTGGTGGGGTCACACGCTCGGTTCGAGCCCTGTCTAGCGACTTTGCAGCTCAAAACTCGTCTAGGGTTTTGGCCGCCTCTACTGGTCTTCTGGCCAACTGTGGTACGTGACACGCGTCGCAGGCGAGTCCCAGGCTGCAAGCAGTGCGCGACAGAACTCGGTCGCTGACACGGCCAGCTTGGGCTCCAACAGGAAAACGCGCCCCGGCCGCTGGTTGGCTGTCCCGGAGGAGGCGGTGCTGCGCGAAGGCACGGCGGGGAGGGGCGGAGTGGGGCGGATGGCGGTAGGTCGTCCGCCCATCGCGGGGGCTGCCACCCGACGCACCGACCTCGCCGTGAAGCCTTGACCCTCGCAACCAGAGCGCCCAACTCGGACGGCTCGGACGCGGATAAGAAAGCATGCACGAAAATTGACGGCGCTGCATCTTTTTAGAGCGACGCTAGGCGCTGCAGCCTGCAGCAGGCGGATTCCGTCCGGGCAGTGATTGTCAGTCTCTCTAGTACGCCCCGTGAGTGCGACGAAGATAGGTGCCGACGGATTGTGGAGGAGTGAGGATGTTCCGGCGGGGTGCGCCACGCGACACTGGACGGAAGGTGGGGCTCCACTGCACTACAAAGTCTAGAGAGAGACAAGTGTAGTGACAAGCGCGCAATGACAAAGGGGGAATAGCGCCCAGATATAGCTGCAGGATGATTCTCGAGCACGCGTCACTCTTGTGTCTCACTCACGACCTCGTGGGAGGCGCCAAGAGAGCGCGCGAGAGAGTGACGAAGTTCTTCGAACGAAACCTCAACAACATCCTCTGGAACCCATGCCCGAGACCAGAAAACCTCCTTTTGTAAGGCTTTTGTAAGCCTCCTTTTCCTTGGACTAGAGCATCGTAACCCGTGCTCCTTGCTCGCCGCGACCGAGGCGCTGGCGGAGGGGGAGGGGGAGGGGGCAGGCTGTTCCCCCGCGGGCCCGGGGCAGAAACGGGGCAGGCCCTCGCGGAAACAACCGCAGAGGGGTGGGGGCGGAGCGCGAGAGCTAAGCGCTGAGTACGTGGCCTCCATGGGTAGGGCACAGGCCGGCGAAGGCTGCTCCGACGGCCAGTCTCTCTCGCACGCACTGGGAGCGCCCTGAGTGCGAGAGAGAGACCTGTCCGCTGGCACGCCGTGCCATGGGGCCGCCGCGCCGTGCCTCGCGCCTGCATGGCATGGCATGGCATGGCATGGCATGGACGCGACGCCCTGCCAGGGGGTTCACTGCATGGGACGCCCTGCCGGGGATCCACTGCGTCCACTACACGCGCAGGGACGCCTTAAATGCCGTCGGTGCGGTCCGAAGCCGCACACCAGCGCCCGGACGAGCGACTCAGAGCGACGCGCGCCGCCAGCACCGCCAAGCAGGACAAGGAGGCCAGCATCGCGAAGAAGGCAGAGAAGGCAGAGAACGCCAAGACGCGCCCAGCCAGGCCGCGCCGCAGCGCCAGGATCAAGAGGAACTCCGCCTATCGACGCAAATCGCCCAACGAAGCGGTGAGTCTCGTTCCGTTAAGACGCTCGACGTTCGAGACCATCATGGCAGTGCACCGCCCCACGCAATGCGAGGCAGACCGCGACGTTCAATGCTTCGGAGGGATTTTTTGTGCGACACTTTGCGTGACTTTGTGTGCGAGCACCCGGCTGTGTTCGCGAATGTTCGGCCACCACACGCCGCCGGTCTGGTTGAGCTCCATCTTGCCTCGTTATTCTGGCATCACTGATAATTTAACTATGACTGCGTGCGGAAAAAAAAAGTCTCGCAGGGTGTGTTTGTGTGTTTAAATTGAAGGGTTCTCGCTCGACTCGAGTCCATTTTAGTTTTCCTGTCGATTCGCGACACTGGGCACCTCCTACTCCCCCTCCCCCAGTCGTGCATCTCGCCCTTTTCCGAGAATTTGAGGCGTATCGTACACGGACCAGAGAAGGACTTGGAGCGCGCGTGTTGGTCTGATAAGAGTGTGTGCAGTGAAAATCGAATGCAGCTCCTGTTGCAGTGCGTCGGGCGCACACAGTTCTCAGGAAACATCGATCAGCGAGAAATTTCTTCGTAGAATGAGAAGCACTCCTCGCCACAAGTTTTTTCAGTATAGGGGTGGCTGTGGCTCTAGGAACATATTTTTGGAGGGGACGACGTTGCACCTTTGGCCTACCTTCAGGCGGAGTGTCATGTGTGTTGCCTATCTTCAGGGACCGGGGGCCTTGCCGCGCGCCTGTACTTTGTTTGTGTAGCCATAAGACCAAGATTTTTGTTCGTAGTATTGCAAAGAGATGGGTCTGTGAAGCTGGACAGTCGTTTCAGGAAGTGAACCGAGAGTGTTTTGTTCCAGAGCATGGATCGCTACGCGCAGGATAACCGCTCCAACCAGCGCAACACCAACCACACGGCCACCGGTTCGGGTAAGCACACCCCGCTGCACAGTGGGCCAGAAGACCGGTAAGGCGGCTGAAACTCTTGACGCGTTTTGAGCTTCAGAGTCGCTAAATGGGACACGATCCGAGCTAGTGACCCCACCAATAGATTCCTCGTTCGGAGAGCAATCCATAGGTGGGGTCACACGTTCGGTTCGAGTACCATTTAGCGACTCTGGAGTTCAAAACGCCCCTAGAATTTCGGCCGCCTCCACCGGTCTTCTGGCCCACCGTGCGCTGTTTGCGTGTTTCATGAGAAAAGAAATTCTCAGTCGCTGACGGTGCGTTCATCTCTCTGTCCTCAGGGCGCCCCTCCGGGTACCAGGGCTCCAGAGCAAACGAGAACAACCGGGCCAACCAGCTGAACCCGAACCACCCCAGCTACAAAGGCAAGAAGAACAAGAGGAGCCGTCGTGTCGGCGAAGACGCATAGTTCAAGACTCGGCGGTGCGACACGTCCAGGGGCTGGCCGAATAGGGAACTGTGATGGGGCCACCAGGAAAACCTCGTCGTTCCAGGGCGCGGGAGTGCGCCGAGGATGGGAGAACAAAAGTGGCTGCTTTTCTTCTCCCATCCTCGTTTCACTTGGTCTCACTCGCACTCTCTCGGAAGGAGGAGGTTTCGGGCGAGGCCGCGTCGCCGTTCCCTATGCGGAGATCCACGGAACGCACGTCTCACAATCACGGGGGAACGCAGTCTTACGCTTCTGTATAATAATTTTCATTTCTATTTGTTGTTTTGAAATATAAACTAATGACACTGGCGCACTGTTACTTTTTACCCCCCATCGCTCCAGGGAAGTTCCAGTCCAGGTTTCCCCCCACCCATCTTGTCAGGGTCATATGGCCCGACAGTCGGGCCACCATCACCATGTTACGTTCCTACTAGGTTCCGCTTTCCTGAAAAACGAACTTTCGGTGCAAACGAAACTTGAATGTTTTTTTATGCATGTTTAGTCAGTGCTTCAAACTGACTGCACTTAGACTGACATCCTTCACGCTAGAGACGAGTGCGTGTTACGCGCCAGTTGTTGGCTATCCTTGTTTCGACTCCCAACAATCGATTCTCGTCTCTCGATAGTCTCGATTTGGTGTGCAGACAGGAGAAAATGGCGCACGGCGTTCGGTAAAATGCAGGATATATCTGATCAACACGAAAGCACACCGTCAACATGGACTGTTGATGATGTTGACGTGGAATTTTTGCCTTTAATTTATGAAATTATTAGGAGGTAAATTAATTTCCATTCTTTCTCGTTTTGAACTTTCTTAAAAGATGTATTTGAGTACTGTTGTATGAGATCTCATAACCTCTCAAGAAGGTCGTTTTTGTTGTTTTGTAAAGCAAATACAGCCTTCTGTGACATTATTTCGTTCTAGGCAAAACTCTCTCAATAGGTCCAATTCTTAAGTATTCTTTGTATGTTACAGTCTTGAGAAAGACCCCCATGATACAACCCAAAAAACTAGAGATTCCCAAGACACCACTCAGAAAATATTAGAGCTGCAGAGGAAACTTGAGAAAGCGAGAGAGCAAGTAAGTGCCTACCTGTTAATACTGAGAGAATATTCATTCTGACAGTGACTCCATTGCCATTCATACCTTTCACTCTTTCTTCTCTCTAGATTCGCAAACTTCCGGGTATAGAATATAACTCTGAAGAGCAGTTGAAGCAATTGGACGTGCTTCGCAATCAGTTACGCCTTAAACGGGAACTGTTGCACAAGTACCGTAATATGTGTACCTTTGAAATACCTAAAGCCTAAATAACTGTAAGTACTGGCAACCTATAGTGTTGATTCCTTTTATTCATTTCCTTGTCTGCAGTTCTGTTTCAATTCGTTTTAGAATCGAGCTTGGAGTATGGATATGTTTAGAAGAGTTCTCTTTCGTCTACTTCATGATGAAAGAGTTCTGCATCGAATGTCTGAATCTCGACCAATAAGGCTGGTGGCAAAATTCTGTGCTAGTTTATTTATGCAAGGAAAATCTATCACTCAGGACCCAGCTTTCAAGAACTTGAACCCTACTAAAATTAAAGAAGTAGCCTCTGATTTGTCTAAAGAGTTTTCCAAAACCATTAAAGAAGCTAAAGAAGAAATCAAGAAGGGAATTAAATGATCCTGTGTAGTCCAGACAACTCTCTTAGCAAAGTTTACTAATTCTATGTGATAGCTGTTTTTCCGCTTTGAGTCAAAATGTATAGCAGTAAAGCAAACAACAGAGCTTTTGGTGCTTTAGAGCAAGGCATGTGGGTAGACTTTGTAGAGAATAATGAAAAACCCCAACGAATGGGATATGGAAGATTATCCAGTAAAGTTCCAGATGATTGGTACAGCCTTCCCAAAAAAAGTTGGACTTCAGTCATCAAATCAGCGTTTAGTGAGGCTCTCATGCTTTTTGCTGTCTCTCCCTTTCAATTACCTGGTCGCATTGCCAGATCTTTGGTTCCACCCATTGTTCATAAATTCCGTATCATTCATGTGGATCTTTTAGGACCGGCTATAGCCCTGATATTTTTGATGTCTTTGATAGTATTTGGCCAAGCCAACAAAGAAAATACAGTGGGAGCAGAAAAACTCATAGTTTCTTATTGTGTAATGCTCCCACTCATTACATATTTTGTGTTACGTTGCTGTCAGGCGGCAATAACTTTTCTGCAACTTGTCACTCTGTTAGGGTATTCTCTATATGGTCCTGTTTTCACCCTTGCAGTCTCTCTTGTGATTGATCGAGAAAGAAGTAATACAGTATTCTTTCTTTGTTTAGCTGTGTTTGGCGGTTTGAGCACTTTGAGAGTGGTACTGGTTGTGCTGGCCTCATTGCGTATACCAGCTGCTCGCCTGCTTGTGTGTTCTAGTTTAGCACTAACCCAACTGTTGTTTGTGGCGTGGCTCCACTTTACATACTTACATCCAACTTTCGTGTTTGGTAGAGGATCAGTTTCAAATGTTGAAGTATAATTTTAGTTGAAAGAATGTAATTTAACCATATGCCCTACAATGGCATTAAAATCAGTTTATATCAATCACATTGTTATTGTATGAAGCACAAGCATCCTGATGTGTGTAAATTATTATCAATAAATATTAGAAAGTCTAACTTGCTCTGTTATTTTTTTCTCCATAGAAAAATTGCCTCAGAGGGAAATGATGAGTGCCCCACATCCTCTTTTGATGCATGGTTTGAATTAATCTTACTTAAGATCTTTGAGCATTTTCAAGAAATTGGTCATTGGTTATGGTCATTCATAAAGAGCACAAAATGAAACAGTAAATTCATTTATTCTTCACTTAACATATGTATTTTTGATACAGGATACTTAAATAACATTCATAATAGAATTCAACAGTAAAAATATAGCTATAAGAGTACAGACGTCCTATCACAACTAAAAGGCTTGTAGGCCATCCTTGACTGGGAGGAGAACTATTAGAACCATTCATATACAATGTTTAAAATTAATCAGGGAAGAAATACGAGACAATTACCGTAGACCTTTTCGAGACAAATTAATCATTGACTTGGAAGGTTGACCTCTTTAAGTCTAAGCACCAAGGAATGGAATGAGAGTGAAAACTAATCAAATAAACAAATATGGAGTACCTCTCGTAACTGCCTGCAGATTGAGATGCACTTTTGATAACCAATTGTGCTACATATGCTCAAGATAACTATATGGTTAACTGCTAGATCCCACCTCTGCAAATTAAAATACACCAAAACGGTCAATAAAACACTGACTCTGCAAGTTGATTGTCACCATATTAAAAAAAACCTAAGTTTGTGCAGATATTTACAAAAAGAAATTTAAAATAAAGAATTACATTTAAAAACAGGCTTGACACCGTAATGTTAATATTTATTCAGCCTGCACAGTTATTTATTTCTTACAAGGCTGATATGATAATTTCTAAGAGCAGGATTGGATTACACAATGAATAGCAGAGGGTCTCTCATTCAAGTCTATGTTCTCCTTTCCAAACAGAAACAAAGCGAATAGTCACATTCAATAACACTTAATCCAATCACAGCCAATCAGAGACATATTGTTGTGTTGTTCATTAAAACATTTACAAGTTTTCTTAAGTTTAGGATGTTTATGAAATTAAATATGATTGGTAATGCAGATGAAACACTGTCAGAGCAGTATAAATATTTGGAACAGATCTACCAATCAAAGAACAAGAGAGGATGTACTTGAATGATCAGTTAAATAAGAGAATCTTGCCTCCTACTATGTCGCCACTCATTTCTATCACTAAGAACTCTGCGACCATATAAAGTATGTAATTCACGAAATGTCAACCTTTTCTGACCACTTTTGACATAATCCGCTCGATATGTTACTAGGGATCCAGCATCAGTCCGTCCAGGTGCTGATCGAATAGAGTCAGACCGTACTCCTTCAGGTTTAGTGCGATTGAAAGGATTATGTCGCTGACGAGGAGGAGGTTGAGGTGAGTCACTGGGATCTCCTCTTCGTATCTCAACAACATCAGTTGGAGGAAGGACAGGACTGCAATCTACAGAAGAAAGGAAAAGAGGACACAAAATTCTACCTGTTAGGCCCTTTTGTGTTAAATAACTTGACACACAAAAAAAAAAATTGAACCCTTACCATCCATTTGGTCAAGCTGGCGCTGCAACTCAGCTACCATTAACTTCATGTAATCATAAGGAGCCTGAGCTAAGGCTTTCATCCATTGTTCCATAGATTCCTGAGAGTCTGAGGCAAGAGCGTAAGATCTATTACCCTGCCCATGGAATACAATCTTGAATCCATACAATTCATCATCTTCGGCAAGCTCTGGAAAGCAACAGATATGTGAAAATGTTTAAAGAGACATTATAAAAGAAGTGTTTTCTATAACAATACTCACCAATAGTGCAGCCCTCCAGCACAACCAGCCCCACAGGCTCCTTGTCTCCTTTTTTCTCAAAATAAAAAAGCAAGTTGCCTTTCAAAACAAACCATCGCTTTTGATATGCCTTGTTAATTTCTCCTCGCTTTACTAACCACCCTTCTTTATCAACTGGAGTTGCTGATGATGCGAAATAGGACAAATTTTTGTCATTGATCTTCATTTTTCTGCAAATAGAGGCACAAAATAGTAAATCAACCTCATTGTAAGTTTCATACATTCACTGCATAATTCAGTACACTGACAACACTGTCACGAACAAACAGAAGAAAACAAGAACTCAAAGAGTTAAATTGGTTTTACTATGAAAAAACTTTTGTACAATGTACAATGAAGATAAGATGGTGGAAGCAATAAAAGCTATTGACAATTCGTAGGTTATGTTTCATCTAAGGTCCTTGTTCTTCGTGTTATGACGAAAAATCTTGTTGCGAGTAATGTTGTGTTTAAAGAAGTGCAACCGAGAAGATTATTACCTATTTCGTTCTTGCCGCTTCACAAAGACCAATGCCTTAATGGCCGTCGTGTCAGGGAGGCGACTCAATCATGTTTACTTCAAAGGAGTGAGTGGGAGTCAAGTTTAGAACGGTTTAGAATAGAAGCTGCGGCGGCGGCGGCTGCGGAAGAAAGAGTGGTGGGGGTGGGATGTTCGGTGGAGGGAGGGACAGGGGGAGGGGAGGAGGGGATCATGAGATTATTCGTTTGCTGGGGCACTGTGCGGGTGCAGAAAAGAAGAGCTTGTGGATATGTAGTCATTGGTGCGTGAGAAAGAGGGGAGAAAAGGAAGGAAATGAGAAGACAGCAACCTTGTGTAAGATATTTACTGTTCACAAACAATCGTAACAACATAAAAAGGCCACTTTCCTCTATTTTAAATATAAACTTCTGGTACAATAAATAGACGCCAAAAAGGCCCTCTTAAGTTCATGTGGAAAAGACAGCAGCAACCAGTGGCAAAGAAGCATTGTATGAAGATGGCTACAAAATCACTCCTACTCACAATCTTATTACAGAAGAAATTTTATTGCCAATGGATCTATTCTAACAATGCGTGCAAAGTTACCACACTTGAAGGAGCAGCTTTCTCTTATTAAAAAAAACAACAAAAAAACAACCTTTGCTCCAATAACTGATGGAGCTCCAAGGTTTGATGAGTCTGTCATCTTTCCAGGTAAATTTTTCAATGTAATTTTGAATTAATTAAATTTTTTGGTATTTCAATTGTTTAGAAAACCCAGTCTTCACAAACTTACACTAAATCATCTGGCCTGAATTTTGCATAAAAATAACATCATTGAAACAATGCATAAATCCTCTCTAAATGTAAACTAGACTAAAATCAGGCACCTCTTACATCTTTGAACAAACAGACTTAAAATTGATTTTAATTGATTCACATGTCAGTTACTACATCAACAGCTTTCTGATCGAGCAATCTAGAACCTTTACACGTTCATATGAAATTTCCTTAGGGCATAGATATTAAAAGGCTATATGTCTTAAAAATGGGGAAACAAAAATCAATACAATCAACAAAAATCAACATTCTATATGTAGCACCGACATGGTTTTTTCTTTTAAAATCAACTAACTGCAAGAAGCAAATGTTTGAGGAGAATTTGTGAAAAGTTTCTTTTTTCCAGTCAACAACTTAGTGACAGATTACTGTGCAATGCAAATGATATGACTCTTCCTTCCTTCAAAAACCCCCATTGACTGGAATTGTCTGAAAATCAAATGACACAATGAGGACTTCCCAAGATCTTGAAGTTGAAATAAGACAATGCATGACATCAGACATCCAAACAGAAAAAAAAGGGACTAATTTTTTTCAGATCAAAAGTGTCAAGTTCACTTTTTCACCCTTTTCAACTAATATTGATCAGAAATAAGCCTGTGATGGATTGAAAATGGACAATCAGTTTCTCTCCATGATTCAAATTAAAACAAGAAGATACTCCATGAACAAAGCTCTCAGGGTTTTAAATCTAAGAAACTTATGTGGTCATTGTGGCCTTGTCTCAACTTGCCTTGAAAAATCAGTCTTGTAAGGCCCTAAATATGGCTGTGAAAACCAGCAAAATTTTATCCCAAAAGCTTAAGCTCCAAGAATTATTGCCTCATGAGAACAGATCAATGGTAACCATACTTCCATTCATAATTAAGACACAGAACAATAGGAAACTCATTTGTCATCAAGAAAACTGCATTATGTGATGAGCTCTGAACTTGTCCTTGAAGTTGTGTGCTGCTGTCAAATGACAACTGTCTAAATAAAATAGGTTTCAACAACAAATGCAAACTAACACTATAACATAAATTAAATTTGTACCTTCACATTGATTGATGAATAAAACATTCATAGTTATAAATTAAGTGATGAGGACTCACAAAAAATACGTCACTATATGTCACTAGCACTTATAAGACCGATAAAACAATTCATGGAATATATGCCAGTAACACTTCTATCTACCAATACTATTTCTCAAGTTAGTACATGATTCAAAGGAACTGAGTGGTACATCTAGTACCTGACACACCAAAGGCAGTTTTTCAATTGCGCTTAAATTTAAATTGCTCAAAAAATCAGGGTAACAGTTACAAAACATACAGTTCATGTCTAAAATGAAGGCATGGGATTAACCATTGGTGCACTAGTAAAGAAACGCTTAATGGAGTCTATGAACATTATCAGAAATCACAAGTAACCTAGTATACACCACAAGGTTTAGCAAGCAAGAATAAGTGTGCTCATTGATTTGAAAAGAGAATGCAAAATAAAATAATGGGAAATTAACCATTTGAAAACAGGGAAAAGGTTAGTGGAAGATGAGTTATAACAAAATTAAACCATGATTAACGAACATGCAAGATAACTAATAAATATAAACTAAGGAAACTTGCATGTTCAGACGGAAAACTCTAGTTCTATTACAATGTGTCACAAAGCATTTCCTCTAAAGCACCTAACGCAGCACCCACCATCACTAGAACAACACAATCTGAGTTAGTAGAAAAAAAGCCTGATAGACAACTGATGCCTACACAGCTTTGAAAGAGCAGATACAGCAACTACTGAGATGGGTATAAAAATAAAACACTTACATAACAGATGCAATTGATGCTGTTGTTTGAACTTGACGTTCACAACAAACACATCATGTCATGCACAAAGCACAATGAAAGGTAACAAAGGGTAATGAAAAGTACTGAAAAAGTGGGACATAACAGAGTGCACTATAGAAATATACAAATGCTCATCAGCAAAATATAAGTAATCTACATATGATGTTAAGTTTGTGGGGCAACAATTAATCACAAGATAGGGGAAGATAGGACATGTGTGATTTAGTTTGTTAAGATGAAAAGAGGAAAGCATTCTTCCATACCGGGTTACAAATAAGTTAAATAAGATAAAAAAATAATAATGATAAAGTTGCTTCTTTTTGTTTTCTTAATAGGTTTGGAAATAAGGAAAAACATAAATCTTTTAGGTAAAAGGCAAAAATATATAATGCCTCACACATATGACACAGCACACTAGAGGGAGGAAAAATCTACTAATGGTAAATTAATTCTTTTGGCAGTCAACAAAAACCTATCTAGATGAATTCCACAACAAAAAAGTTAAAATATATTATTTTACAAACACCTAACAAGGAGCAATACTTTCAACGAGTAAAAGCATAAGGGTTCCTTAAACATAATCAAAACCTATTAGCAACAAATGAAGGGAAATCACACACCATTCCCACTCTTTTCAAAATCCAGAACAGCATCATTAATCAAAGATGAAACAAAGATATACTTCTATACATAAAACAACGTGTGGTACCACAAAAAGTGATGAGGACTGCTACACATTACTCTCTGGACCATGTCATATGTGCTATATTCAAATGTGATTAGAAGCTCCTAAATAGTTTCAAAATTAATTGAAACATGGTACATGGAAACTAAAGAATGATCAGGTATTGCCACTCTCATTTGAGTCTTTGGTTTTCTTTAACTCAGACACCACAGGCTTGGCAGCATTGTTCGCATTAATATTATTCAAACCTATGCCCATGGACTTGTCATCCAGGGCTGTAGACAAGTTTCGGACAGCATTGTTCTCCTTCAGCTTGGAGGATGAACTTGATGAGCTGCTCGAACTGCTGCCCTGCTTTTCTCTGTGCTTACTGCTACTGCTGCTCAATTTCTGCTTACTACTGCTCTTGGAACCATCAGAGTGGCCATCCCTGCTGCTGTGCTTGCTGTCCTTGTGCTTTTGACTGCTACCCCCACCACTGTGATGCTTAGACTTGTGGTCTTTACTATTACTATGTTTACTAGGAGTGGCACTAGAAGTTGAAACATGGTGAGATTTATCTATTGGTTTCAGTTCAGAAGGAATACAAACACCATTTGTTGTGATACTGCCATTTTCAGTAGAACTTTTAGGAAGATCTTTCTTAAGAAGCCTTGAATCAAGTCCACCATTGGACTGTATACCTTTGAAAGATGTCTCACCCTTTTTGTCAACAACTTTCTTATCTTTCTTGTCCTTGAAAGACTTTTTCTTGCGTTCAGATCTAGCATCTGGTGATGAAGATGATTTACGTTGCTTTTTGCGAGGAGAAGAATTTTCCTCATCACTTGATAGACCACTGAGGTCTGGTGTCACTATCTGATGAGGTCTAACATCTGGTAAGTCCTTCTTTTCTCGGTAAGTATGGCAGTTGTTGACTCCTGTGACAACTCTTGAATGTTTGATATCTTGACTTAACAAGGAATCTGTGTAATACTGCTTCAGACGAACATGCCAAGCTGAAAAGCAAATAACAATAATTTGTAAATCTACTTCTGTCTTAGATTGAGAAGAAGGTATGACAAGACAAAAAAAAAAAACTTCTTTTACTCACCAATACTTGTCACAGCCGTTACGGTTCTGAATTGATGAATAATGTTACGAGGCAGGAAATAGATGTCATTATCATAAAGCTGAATTCTTGAATAACGTATGCCGTCCCTGCGCAGTTGGTTTAGCTTTGCATCTTCAACCCACTGAACACACTAAATAAGAAAAAAGACACAGAAATTTTAAGAGTAAAGTCCGTTTACATATTTAAATTTTACCACATGTGCCCGCACAGGTATTTAATGTGATTTTACCTGTGAGATTGGAGGCTCATGTAGATCTAGTTGCAGCTTCTCCACAAGATCAGGGAAGTCAGAGGCATAAAACGCTACAACATCTTTTGTTACTCTGTTTTGATTGCTTGGAACTCCACAATGCACAGCCTTCAAAATACCTAAAAGTGCACAGATAGGAAATAAAATGAATTAAGTAGAGGTAAGGATTTAAACAATGCAGTAGAAAAGAAGACAAAATTAAAATAAAACTCACCAACTGCAGCAGTTGTCATTCTATCCAATCCATGACCAACATGATCAGCATGAGCTTTGGTGCGGTCCTCAAACATGTATTCCCGGGCTTCAGAGAGGCGAGGTAAGTACTGAAGGTTTCTTAACTCATTAATACCAGTTCGTTTTCGCTTGAATGGTGACTTAGCAGGCATATCAGCTGTAGGCACTAATTGTTCACCAGGTCTTATCCATAATATTGGTCCATCATTTGACTCAAGAGGAGTTTCCATTTGAACGACAGACAGTGGACCCCAGGGCATTGTCTAGAGGGAACAGCAAGTTAGAATAATGCGCAAGAATTCAACTCATACCATTAAAAAAAGGATGTACTCACTTTACGTAAATAAATATTGTCTTCAAGACGCTTCAAAAAATCTGGGAAGAAACCACCTACTTCTTCTGTAACTGTTCCAACCAATGATATTTGATGCAATGGTCCATACCGTACAGTTCCATATCCGTAAGTGCGGTACACCTATAAAATTAGGGAAAAAATTTGAATACGTGAATAAGAGACAAAAAAAGTATTTCATACAATAAAATTTCAGTCTTCAATCCATTGAAAAATCGTCTTTAGCAATAATTTTTTGAAAAACCCTACCTGATCTCGATATGCAGCCATAGTTGTTGTTTCAATATCTGAACTTCTACCAAGAATCCCATTTTTGACAGTAAGAGTGGGATAATGGTCAGCCATGTGATCCAAAAGGTCAGGCAAGTATGATGCAGAGTCATGCACAATACCCATCACATGAAATGCATTGCCATCTTCATCCTCTCCAAAAACCACCTAAAATTAAAAAAAAAGACAAGATTGGATTTTGCCTGCAGTGCAGCAAAAATGCAATAAGGTAACTAACAAAAATTATTGAGCAAACCTTAAAAAACTCATCAGAAAGCTCATTCATTTGGTCTTCAGATAGATGGTTGAGTTCTTCTTGGTACATATGCACTACACTTGCTCCACCATTTGGATGAGTTTCAATGTGCATATATTTGGCGTACCGATATACATCAGAGGAGGGATGACTATACTGATCAGGTTTTGATATGGAGCTGATACTGGACGGTCTTTGAGCAGGATGCCAGTTGAATGCTGAAGGGGGTGGTGGAGGAGGTGGCTGCAAAAGTTTTCCAACAGTTTTGTCTCTTCTACATTGAACACCAATGCTGCACCGCTTGATTTTAGATCGTTTATAGCATCTAGAACAATGATGAGATGAAGATGAAGATCTGTGGTCCTTCCTTTCAGAATCTCGGCGACTGCTTTTGTGTCCACTAGAACCGCTGCTGCTTGGCCGTCTGTGGGGCTTATCAACATGGGATGCAGGCACAGTGCTGGACTCAGTCTTAATTTTCACATCATCAATGGATGCACGCTTCTCGTCTTTCACCATCACAAAATCCTTTTCATCAATTGAGGATCGCTTTTCTTCTTTGATTCTAGCTGGCACACTGGGGGTACTTACAATAGTATCACTATGATTGTCATCAATTGGTTTGGAGGAACTAGAGACGGGTGTCAAAACTTGACTAACTGTCTCTTCTGACAAGACACAATCACCAATAGAAACAGATTGATCAGCACTGACCAACGAATTTTCTGGGACTGGGTCACCAGTTTGGACAACAGAACTGCTTTCGTATGGAATTTGCTCTAACGGTTCCACAATCTCCTCTTTAATGACATCTTCAGAACAGGATTCTTTATCTTCTACCTCTGATGTGCAGACAACTTCATCACCACAGGTTTCTTTGATTTCTACTTCAGATGCACATACAACTTCATTACACACTTCTTCTTGATGACAAACAAGGATTTCTGCTCCAATATTACTGCATGTCACACCATCGATGAACCGTTCCGATGAGGATGCTTCCCCAGACCACACGTTTTCAACAAATGAATCTGGCAAGGATGCAATAGGAACGTGAAATGCTTCAACAGGTGCAGAAACTTGCTCACTTTCCAGCAGTGTAACTTGTGAAGTATCATGGAGTGAAAGTGATGACTGAGATTGCTTGCTTGATTCCAAAGTGAATTCCTATATGAGCAAAAGAGAGAACCAAGTTAATTACCTTGTAGAAGTATGACATTAAAGTTAGTTCAAACATATAGTTATTACCTCAAATCTTTGAGCAGTGATGGGCGACTTGCTTTGATGCGCTCTCAAACAATCTTCTTCGCTAACCTTCCTGACCTCCGACAGGGCGTGGGAACTCTTCATACCGTCACTCTCGATGTCCTTTGGTCTAATCCTCTCTTTTTCAGGATCTCTCCCTTTGACACGATCTCTATCCCTGTCATGGTGCTTTGCTCTATCTCTGTTTCGGTCTCTATCTCTATGCCTGTCCCTTTCTCGGTCTCTGTCACGTCCTTTGTCTCTATCCTTGTCCCTTTCTCGCTCTCGTTCTTTATCTCTATCACGATCTCTGTTCCGATCTCGATCTTTTGCACCATCTTTATCATGATGTCTGTCTTTTTCTTTGTGTTTTTTCTTGTGCTTCTTGTAATCCGGACTGCCTGGGGCCTTCTTCATTTGTCCTGCAACACACAAAGAGAACAGGTCCTGAAAGGCTCAAGGGACAACACAGAAATCAAAGTAGCAAAAGAGATATCATTGACATTGAAAAAACAAAGACTGATCCAAGGAAAAGGTTGCAACGAGGCTGCGTATAAATTTAAAGGTCAGGCGATATTTTTTTTCAAATCACAAGAGGGTTGATAGGTTAGGAGTGCGAAAACATGCTAGACAAACTCTTCAAAGAGGCCGATTGAGACACGGTACACTGTTTCCTACTCTCAGAGAGACCTGTCCGCGGCCGAGCACGTTGCAGTGGACAGTGAATTACCTGCCGATTGTCCATTTGTGGCTACTGCTGTAGCCGACTTGGTGTCGGATCCGCCTTCTCGTGCGTTCGAAGGTGGTTTTGTCATCCCGCTAACATTTGCACCCGGCGGACGGTCGTGACTCCAACTTTTATGACACTTGGTGGCACAGTTTAAAGCGTTGCTTCCCGAATCACCCGCTCTGCTTTCCTGCGAGCCATGGCGCAACTCTGTGTTTACTATTTTCCTCACAACACACTCCGCAGATGACGCCGTTTCAAATAAACCAGGAAGATTTCGGTAACTATGCGCTTCGCGCTTTTCTAGCGCAGTGACAGGCAGGCCACGGTTCGCTTCGACATTAGAAGAGTCGGAACTGATCACAGATTTTTCAGGCTCTGGCGAAGTGCTGCTGTTAGATTTGTAAAATTCACTTGACGCAGGACTTCGCATTCTGTCGGATGCCATGTTGATTTCCTCCTGCAGCAGCACGGCCAGCACGGTGCGCAGAATGCTCGTGCCTTTGTGCGGCGAGCGCTGATTGGCTGCAGCGGAACCGCGCATTTGCCCCATTGGTGGGCTGGGGCCCGAGTCGCCCGAGCCGCGGCCCCAGCGCCAATAGCCGCCACCGTCACACGGCCGCTCGGGCTCGCCAGCACGGCCACTATGCGCACGCCGCTGCGACAAGGGGCCTTATGCGCACTGCGGCGACGAGCTCCACGCGGCACTATTAGCAGTCACCGAGTGAGAACATGTCAGGGCCATGCCTTTGCGCTGACTTCAATTAACAGTGTGCGTGCGTGGGTGAGTCGAGGCGAGGAATTGCGAAAAACTTATGCTTACTAACGCATTTAAAAAAATTTATTCACTTCATTGCTGACAGTCTAACATTACTGAAGGCAGTCGCAGACACCCTCCTGGTCATTCCACTTCGGTAGTAGACGTCGCTCTCTTTTGCAGGAACGCGAGGAGAGAGTACGACGATCGAATCAACTGTAATCGAATTGGAAAATGGCAGTGGGGTTAGTCCACGATCAATGGATCGGCCTTGGGGGCGCTGGAACGTGCTGCAACGTGCCTCCAGGAAGAGCGGTAGGCCCAGGAGGGCGTTGTTGGCCACCACGACGTGCGGGGGCTTCTGCGCGCGCATCAGCGCGAACTTGACGGTGTAGGCCACGGCCGCCCCCTGCAGGTACCAGTCGCCGCACTCCAGCCCCGTCTGCACCTCGGTCGCCTGCGAGCAGCCCGCGAGTCGCACCTCGTCGCTCTGTCTCCGTCGCACTCCCACAGCTCTCCGTGAGGGTGCGAGAGAGACAGAGCAACAAACCGCCCGGCTGGCGCGCCGCAAGCCACGCGGGAAGACAAAAATAAGATGCAAAAGCTGGTAATTGAACCCGGGCCCGGAGGGTCGCACCTCGTCGCTCAGCCCGGTGCCCATCCAGCACAAGATGAAGGCCTCGATGACGACGGTCGTGGCCAGCATGATGAAGCGCACGTTGCCCGCGTCGGCCGGGTTCTGCAAGCGGAGGCAAAACAGCAATGACCAGAGGCGCGGCCGTCTTCGATCAAAAAGAAGGTGGAAACTTGCTATCGAGACTTGGAAGAGGGCGACGCAGATCAAGAAGACGATGGTGCTGAGCTGCACCGTGAGGAAGGGCGCCAGGACCTGGCAGAGCTCTTCGGCGAGGCTGCGGCCAGCAAGGCGAACGTAAGGCGAACGTAGTCTCCTCCACACAGTGGGCCAAAAGGCCGGTGGAGGCGGACAGAACTCTAGACGCGTTTGGAGCTCCAAAGTCGCTAAACTTGACTCGAACTGAACGTGTGACCCCACCAGTGGATTGCTCTCCGAACGAGGAACCCATTGGTGGGGTCACACGTTCGGTTTGAGGCCTGTTTAGCGACTCGGGAGATCAAAACGCGTCTGGAGTTTTGGCCGCCTCCACCGGTCTTCTGGCCCACTGTGCTCCATCTCTCTCTCTCTCTCCTCTCCACACGCGTACCCTAGCCTACCTGATGACGGCCTGGTGGTGCTTGACGCCCTGCACGACGCACGCCTCCACCCGCGCCCTCTCCTCTGCGCTCCAGCCGCCGTCGGCCAGCGTCTCCGCCTGCAGAACGCGAAGCAGGCCGGTCGGTGTGTCTCCCTCGAACCATGGGGTGCGAGAGAGACACAGCGACGGGGCTGTACTCGTAAGAATCGTTTCGTCGTACAGTGGGCCAGAAGACAGGTAGAAGCGACCAAAACCCTAGACGTGTATTGAGCTGCAAAGTCGCTAAACAGGGCTCCAACCGAACGTGTGACCCCACCAATGGATTCCTCGTTCGGAGAGCAATCCATTGGTGGGGTCACACGTTCGGTTCGAGTCCTATTTAGCGACTCTGGAGCTCAAAACGCGTCTAGAGTTTTGGCCGCCTCCCCCGGTCTTCTGGCCCACTGTGTGGCGGTGGCGATCACGGCGAAGCAGAAGCCGCACGTCAGGAAGCTGGAGAAGGTGACGGCGGCGATGCGCTGCGAGCGCCGCCGCGTCTGCAGCATGACGAGCCGCGCCCCGCGGGGACCGGCGCCGTACACCGCCGCGAACACGCGCGCCATGTCCTCGTCGATCTGCGGGGAGGCGTCGACACTGTCATCCTCGTGTGGGGATTCAAACGGGGAAGAGCCCAGCAGACTGATTCCGAGAGTCATTTTAGGGACGCTCCATGGGTGCGAGAGAGACAAAGCCACAAAAACGACTGCCGGAACCAGTCTGGGGGTCGGATTCGAACCCTCACCCTGCGCAGCAGGGCCTTGAGCCGGTCCTCCGTCTCGTAGAGCACGAGCAGCTGCAGCAGGCTGAAGGCGATGCACAGCACGTCGCTCAGGTTCTCCGTCACGTTGCGGATGCTGTCCGTGTCCAGGGCCGAGTGCATCAGCTTGGCCCCCAGGAAGACCACGTTGGTGACGACGTTCAGGTTGAAGTAGACGCGCTGCGCCAGCGACACGGCCGCGGCCGACAGCGTCGAGGGGCGCTCGTCGTCGTACGCCGCGACGCGCCGCCAGAAGCCCGTCGCCCTCATGATGCGGATGTTGTTGGCGAAGATGGTGGCGGCCCTCGCTGCGCAGCGCGGAGAACAGTGTGCCAGTCACTCTGTCCCTCTCTCGCCCTTGCGGGACGCCCCGTGAGTGCGAGAGAGACGGAGCGCCGTGCGGGGTAGGCCCGCCACTCCACAGGCGGCCCGTGCGTGTTGCCTACTCTCACTTCGCAGGCGCTTCTTCACTCACCCGCCTTCGCCTTCTCGCTCGCCCCGAGTTTCATCTCCAAGCGCGTGGCGAGGGTGAAGGCCTTCTCGGCGCGCTGCCACGAAACGGTGTGCGGTGGTGGCGACGTCAGCGCTCCCTCGGCAAACAGTGATGCAAGATGCAGCCCCACTTAGCGACCCCGCCGGCCTGGTTTGTTCGTTTGCCGAGGAGGCGTGGCTTTTACCTTGGCCGCGGCAATCCCGCGTCCGTCATTCGTTTTCGGTTAGAGGAAGTCGACGACAGTGTACACACGCGGAATGAGAGAGCAGGCACGTTTTGCAATTTTTACTCTGTTTTCTTTTCCCTATTCCTCTGCTGCTACTTCGGCGTCCCCCGCCCCCGCCATGGCCTCGGCTGGCGGGGCGTCCCCCGCGTCGCCGACCGCGCTCGCCACGTCCTCGACGGGGAGGTCGTTCATGGCCTCCAGGACGACCTCGCCCTCCCCGGCGCCGTCGGGGCCGGCGTCCGGGCCGACGCCCAGTCCTTCGCCGGCCTCGGGCAGCACCTCGCCGACGATGGGAGCCTGCTCGGCCTCGGGGGGCTGAGGGAAGACGGCGAGGGCTGTAGCCACCAAGTGGATCCCGTCAGACCGTCGGCACGGCCGCGACGGCGTCCTACCTGCTCCGCGTCGGTCGCTGGCCCGGCGGCGTCGGCGTCCTCGGGCACAGGGCGCGGCCTCTTGGCCGGGACCACGTACTCCTCCTCCTCCTCCTCGTGGGCCTTGACGATCTCCTGCAGGTCGTCCTTGTTGGCGTGCACGCACTTGGCGCCGAAGAACTCCTCCACGTCGGCCTTGGCGATGCCGGGCGTGGCGCTGATGTAGAGCGGCCCCGCCGTGGCCAGCTCCAGCAGCGGCGCGGACCGCGTGCGCGTCACCTCCAGCACCACCAGGGTCTTGGCCGTCTGCAGGCCGCCGCGCACCAGCTTCTCGTAGTCCGGCCTGGAGCTGGCGAGCAGCTTGCGGCCCTGTGGGCCCACAGTGTGGGGGCAGAGAGGGCATGGCAGGCGCGGATCCAGGGGGAGGCGAGGGGGGCGTCCGCCCGGCCTCGGCGTGCTCACCTTGGTGAAGAACCCGCAGCGGGTGACGTCCGACGGGAAGGCCTCGGACAGCTGCAGCACCTCGTCGCGCTTGTCGCCGGAGAAGCAGATGACGGTGGACTCTGGCGGCGGCGGGGGCGGCGGCGTTGGCGGGTCGAACAGCGGTTCCGCCACGTCCTCGAACAGCGCCTTGACGGCGGCGGCCTTCGACAGCGCGGTGAGCGGCGTCCAGATGCCCGGCAGCACGGGGCCCTTCTCGTCGCGCCGGAACAGCAGCTTGGCCGCGGCGCTGTCCAGCGCGGGCAGCAACTCGCGCGGGTTCCAGACGCGCACCTCCGGCTGCGGGATCAGGTCGTCCTCGTCCTCCTCCTCCTCGCCGTCCTCCCAGCCCTCGTCCTCGCACTCCTCCTCGTCGCGGTCGGGGACTTCCACCGTCCCCTGCCCCGCTGCCGGGTCCGCCTCCCCTTCGCCTTCACCCTCGTCTTCTTGCTCGTCCTCGTTCGCTTCCTCCCTCTCAGTTCCTTCGACCTCCTCCGTTTCCGCAGCCTGCCAAGGAAACATCAGAAATTTTTGCGTCCTTTACGTAACTTTTGCACTGTAAGTGACTGTACGGCTGATTTTCGTTTGTTTTACCTGGTCTCCTTCCTCTACCGCCTCCTCTTCCTGGCCCTTCCCTTCGTCCTCCTCCGCGTCTGCCTCGGCGTTCTCGGCGTTCTCGGCGCCCTCGTCCGGCAGCACAGTGTCCTCCTCCTCCTCCTCACCCGCGGGGGACAGACTCTCCACGGGCGTGATGAGCTCCATGGAGGAGCCAGTGCCCGGCAAGAAGCCGTAGATGGACTTGGCGACGGCGGTCTCCACGTTGAGAGCGGAGGCGGCCTCCTCCTCCTCCTCGTCCTCGGCTTCCTCCTCGGCCTCCTCCGCGGCGCGCTCCAGCATGAGCACGAGCGACGGGCCCTGCGTCACGCTGTCGGCCAGCACGTCGTGCTGCGGCAGGCGGCGCTCCCAGAACATGAGGTTGACGGCGTCCGGGCCCAGCTCCACCTCGTCCTCGCGGGTCACGGCGATGCCCTGCTGCGCCCAGGACTCCCGCAGCGCGTCCACGATCTCCTTGCAGGTCTCGGACTGCAGCGCGTAGGGGAACACGACCACGATGGTGGTGTTCGGGAGGTGCTCGGCGATCTGGCCGAGGATGCGGCGCAGCACGCGGTCGGCCTTGAGCTGGGCCTCGTCGAGCTCGGCGCGGAGGCGCGCGCCCTCCGTGCCCATCATCCCCTCCTCCATGGCCACCTCGGCCGGCGACAGCCGCGTCAGCGACACCGTCTTGCGCTTCTCCAGGCCCTCCGCGGCGCGCTTCTCCCTGCGGACAAAGCGGTCGCGGGTTCGAATCCCAGCGGGGCGCGGGCACTTTCAGTGTGTTGGGCACCTCTCAATCTCCTCCTGGATGATGCGGATGACCTCCGGCGCGCGGCAGCCGAAGATGACGTTGACGAGGCGCCCCCCCGACAGCAGCACGAAGGTGGGCCGCGAGCCCTGGAGGCGCCTCAGGTCCGGCACGATGCTGGACGGCGCGGAGGCCAGCTGCATCCACTGGAACGCCGCCTCGGACGTCTGGCACACGCGAAACAACCCTGCCAAAAACGGCGAGACTGACCTTGCCCGTACTCGAACCCGGGGCTGCGACCAGACCTTGAGGTTCTTTAGAGGGGTTCCCATAGCGACGCATGGTCCAGCCCAGTCGCGGTACAGGTCCACGACGATGAGGCCCGGGCGATGGATGAATTCCCGCCACTCCTTTTCGGTCGTCAACTCAAACGATATTTGGATCTTTTTTTGGGTGCCCATCTCGGTTCAGGGAGGCGGGTTCAGTCTGTGAAATAGTGTTAATTTTGGTGCACACTTTTTGTTAGCGGTAAATCCTGTTTTTGTTTGGCGTTTGTGCATATGTGTAAAAATTGATAAAACACAGGAATTAGTGATAATTCCTTCTCACCTTTCGCAACAGAGGAATTAACTAACTTGTCATCATGACAGTGGGTTTTACTCTTTTTTTGGGTGTGTTTTTTAAATCTAAAGTATTACTTCATTGGAAAGTAATGTTTACATACTGAGATCCTACATTGTTGTGAAATTAGGGTTGCTAGGTAGCAACAGTTGCCATTGTCAGGCTGTTGGGGCCCTCATTCACTCTTGAAGTGTGGGTGGGTGGAGTGCAGGGACATTGAATCATTCATGAACAACCCAGATAATTTTGATCTTTTATTAAAATGGTAACATCACCTAAAAACTCCACTTCACGTAAGCGAAATTTCGTATCACACAGTTTACTGCTACTTCATTACCACCACTTACAAACATAGCAGACAACTTGACCAAAATAGAAGGTTACTTATGGAAGACTGAGGTAGGAGAGATGTTACTAGCCACCCACTCAACATGACCTTATAAAGATTTAATAAAAACGTGAGAACATATTGTCAAGATTTTGAGATGTCCTCATTCAAATTTAACAACCCATTGAATAATAAAAAATTCAACCGGCAAAAGACAACAAGTACATTAAATTCAATGACAGATCAATCTGACACTTTTTCAAATTTTCCATGAACTAAGAAAAATTTTAGAAAAAATATTAGATTGATGTGTCACTAACATTTTCACATGGCAGGTGCCATGTTTACAAGGGAAAATGAATGTAAAACTTCAACACATCTCAGCTCAGAATATCACACCTGCTTCAGACAGTGTCCTGGGTAAAAAAGAAATACAAAAATAAATGAATTACCTCCTGCTGCCAAACGGATGAAATATCATTGAACTACTACTTAGCCATATCTTGTTTGATATTCATTTCAGCAGGAAAAACCCTGATAATATTAATGTACATCAAAAATTATGTATACATAATAGTAATTTGATCAAATAAACAATTTACATTCACAATTAAAAAAAAAAAAAAACATAAGGGAAAAAACATGAAAAGGCTGTAGACCTTAAAATTACATGAAAGGCGACAAAATCTGTTTTGGTCAAAACAACATATCTAATAAAGTAACGACAATAGACATTTTTGACAAAAACAAAGGTATGTCATCCATGTGGACTAACAAATCAGTAAAAACTCATGGCCCATTAACATAAAAATTAGAGGAGCTTCTGTCACTGATTTCTGGTCTTATGAATTCCAAATCATGAACAAAACAAAAGATCAAACTAATTGAAAATAAAACTTAGAACCGCGGTTCACAACAATGATTGTGTAAAATGAATACACAGCTTTGAAAAAAGACAAGGATTAAGGCACATAAAAAAGAGTCATAACTAACATGACTTTTTAACTGATAGAGACTCTATCCATGACTACAATCAGACCATATTCAAGTTAAAGCTCAAATTACAGTAAACCTACTGTAAATTTAAAAAAATAATAAAAGGACAGGATGTACTACAACTTAGCTGACTGAAATGGATCATCCAACACTAAATTTAACTGCAGAGCTACGTCTTCACAACTGGAGGTACTGCATTGGGACACTTCTGGGCACACTGTTGCTGCTCTCTCTGCTTTCTTTCTCCTGAGTCTGGGCTTTGGAGAGCTGCATCAAGGCCAAAGCTCCCATCAGCTTTTTGTCTTCTGTCTTGACAGGAAGTACTGGTGGAACATTGGTAGGTCTGCACTGATCCACTGGGATGGCTTGGGTAGGCAGCAAACAACTGTCACGTCCAGCCAACATGAGAACAGTGGGCCTGCCGAGATTGCCCAAGTCTGGCTGCACAGCCTTGCAGCCCAGTCGTGAGGGGTCTTCCACCACACTCGGTGCTGGGTCCTCAATGTTGTCCCATTTCAAAGGACGAGCAAGTTCCTAAATAAAAAATGCAAACATTTAGTATTTGTCCGACTGAAGGTAAAATATTAGACTGACCATCAATTAATAAATACCTGTTTGTCTGTGTCCTCCCACAAGCTGAGCTCTTGGCAGGCGGCACGAAGCCACCTCTTCTTAGGTTGTTGGAGACGTGATGAAACAGGAGAGGACTGCTGTGCATTGTTTACTCTAGTGTTAAAAACTTCAGCTGGTTTTCTGGTAGAGTCAACTTCTACAGAGTTGTCCAGGTAATCACAGTAATCGGTGTCAGAGCCAGGAGAAAATGTTGACCAAGTACCACACTGCAAGAGAGAATACAGAAGTCAGTAAAATACAAGCACAGTACTGGTTTCACACAAGGAATTATCAGATCTTTACCTGAGGAGTGCTGGTAGATGCTCCAAGAATTGTGCTTCTGATAGGTGTGTGTGGAGTGAGGGGCATACTAGAAGGAAATGACAGGCGATTTTCTTGTTGCTCGATTTCAGCCATGAGGCCCTTCCGTGCTCGTGATTTGGACCCAGTCACAGATTCCCCAACCAACGATTCATCAATCGTTTTGATGGGAGAGTTGTTGCTGTTGCATCGCTTGCGAGCTTTTGGATTTGGATTATCAATAACTTTACACGGAGTTCTTTCATCCCGCTCCTTACAGTACCTTAGAAAAATATTATAAAAAATTAGTTACTGTTTAGAAGTCAAATTGCAATAAGCTGAATTGAATGGAATAGAAACTTACTTTTCGAACCAAACCATAACATCAGTTGCTTGATCGGAGTTGGCCACTTTAGGTCTCAATACATAATCATCACAGCGAGTTAAAGTTGCATAGGGGTGAGCAGAGCAGTGGCGATTGGCATGAGCAAAACGCTTTGAGCATCTAGAGGAAACAGAATTTAATAATACAATTAAAACTTCCTGTCCAATACTGGTGATCTAGATACAAAACAATTAGACTTAACAACATACCCAGGCCCTGTGCATTTGAAAGGCTTTTCCCCAGTGTGTAGTCGTTGGTGAGTTTTGAGCTGACCGCTTTGAGAGAAAGCCTTCGTACATCCGGGATAGTCACACACATATGGACGTTCACCTGTAAAAGTGCACAAAATAAATAACAGTCAATAAAAAGAGAAGGGAATTACATATTAAACTTTCCTGACACAATTGCGCAATCATAAAATCTATGAAAAATATTTTTTGACTAAAGAAAATATTTAGAGAAAAATTCTGTCATTTCAGAAAAAAAATCGGTGGGAAAATTGAGAAAACAGGCGGGCACGACAAATTAACTTGAATTAAAACGAAAAAATTCGCGACCGGAGCCTCGATAGAATCACGCCAAAAATGACGAAGCGGATGTCGGCAAAATCGTAATGGCGATGCATCGCACCATGACAAAGAACACAATGGCAACCCAACCTCAACGCAACAAAGAAAACAGCGTGGATTTCGCCCCGCGATGGGCGAACACGGTCGGATTTAATTTCCAAATGTAAATAAAAGACCCGGCCTTCAGAAAATGATACAGAGCAGACGAATCGAACCGCACTGACCACAAAACAAATTTAGGCCGGCAACGTGCTGGCATGAATGGGGTTACGTACCGGTGTGGGTCCGAAGATGCGCCTGAAGCGATTTCTCCCGAGGAAATACCCGGTTGCAGTATCGGCACTTGATGGCACTCGGAGAAGTTGTTCCTGCCTTCATCAAATTGGTGATAGCGTCCGCCCGGGGGCGGCCGCGTTTCAACTCCGACCTCGCAGAAGCCAGATCCGGAGAGCCGCACGAGCTGGCCGGACTTCCAAAGTCGCCTTTTCGGGCATCTTCAGCCCAATTCCACGGATATAACATCGAATCCGGCATCGCCGGGTTCTCAGTCACATTTCCAGCCATGATTTATGCAGAGAAAGTTTCAATGGCACTCCCAAATCAAGAAAATTCGGCCTCCAAACTTGCAACACGTACACTCCATCAGGCGGGAACACTTCACGTTGTTTACCGCCAACAAAATATTTACAAAATCCCGCGCGGAAAGGAGATTTAAGTTGATTGGTTAGCCAAGCAGAAGGGGCGGAGCCAACATTTCCCAGCCGAAGTTCCTGAAAATATGGATATTCTACGGCCTAGGAGCTGATAATGTATCAAATCGTGTACAGCGGCGCATTAAAATGCCCAAGTTTAAAAATGGAGTGCATGTTTCACAGACAAAAGCCGCGCATTGGTCCGCGTGAAAACCTTTCGGGTTGGATTCCCGCCAAATCCAATGATGGCCGCCACGCCACGATGAGAAGCTTCACGAACCGCAAAAGTCAAGCAGAGAAACCGTTTAACAACTTACAGTACGCCTCTTTTGACTGTAATGAATTTACTAGAGTAGCTGAAACGCTTCTGTTTGTTCGAACAACAATTTTTGTTCTGTGGAATCAGTGTGCGGATCGAAAAACGCGGCGAAGCAAAACTCACGGCCACTTTGACTAAAAGTGACCGGAAACACATGGCGTGAAAAGTCCCGTTCTCTGCCGAAAGCACGCGTTTTTCGTGCATGAAGCGCCCGATCAATGTTTGGGAGACCTCGTGCGGAGGAAAGGAGAAACTGAAATTCACGCACACGCCATTTTGGATGAAGACCACAGCGAACAGCTCAAAGGAGCTTAACTTTATCCCTCACCATCCTTGGGTTTTGGTGTGTAAAAGATGGAGCAATCGTACGGGGTTGGAATAACCAACCGCTTCAATCTTTTTTTGGACGGAGAAGATGATCCTTTGGACGTTTTGAAAATCGTCGACGAAGAAAAGGAGGCTAAGAAGAAGACCAAGATCGCCGAGAAGGAAAACAAGGGCAAGCCCGAAACTAAAGGAAAATCAGCCCCCGAACGCAAAGGATTCAAGGAAACCTCCAACGTCAAGACCCCCAGCATTGGAAAGCCCAAGGAAGGTATGTCATTGAGTTTCAATCGATAGTCCAAAAGCATGGTGCAGCCCCTGGCGCCCATGGTGGGGCCCCAGCACGCCGGTTTTGTCCCTGACGATGACTCCTCTCGCGAATTTGAGCGTCTCTGTAGAGTATGTGTTGGTTCCTCCCCTGCATTTTGCTCCTAGAATGCTGTCACCTGCAGCGAATCGCCCTCGTTACTCTGGGCGTGTGACGCCCAAGTACTCTGCCAGGGACTTGTCTTTTTTTGTCGCGGTCTCGTCGCCTCTCGCCAAGGCAGCCAAGGGCCCTGGATCGCGGGGCCGCGGGGCGTTTGGCTTGGGGCGGCCGAAATAGTCGCAAGACCGAGGGGCGGCAAGGCATCGGAATGGGCAGGCTAGTGTTCTCGTTGTGCCTGCAAGTGCGCGGTTTGTTCACGGTGTGTACCTTTGTTCATGACCCCCTCCACCCCCTCGTCTGGCCGCTGGTCGCGCTCCATGCCCATGCCGTGTATGGGAATGCTGAAACCATGTGGTGCAGCGTTCGGTCGATTTATTGCGTTTCGGCGCCCGGGCCGCGCTCTGCGTCGCCAGCGCGTTGCGGTTTCGGCTTGGTGGACTTTGCGGTGAGCGGGGTGGGTCGTTAGGCCTTGTTCGGCCTCGGTCAGTGCGATTCGCTGATAGGGCGACGGCGTGCCCTAACCTACCTTTTCGGTGCCCTCCAACACTTGGTACGCGCTGCTCTGGCCGCGCCGCCCGCGTCCCGCGCCGCTCCGGTTCAAGGCCATCTCGCCACTTCGCCGAGCGGTGCACTTATTTTCTCGACCGTTGCGTTTTGGGGGCCCAGTGTTTTGATAAATTTGCTGAGTGGCTTTATTTACCCTGCTAAGCTTATTCAGCTTTGTTATTATACTGTATGGTCGTAAATAAATTTTATGTTATAACTTACCGTTGTTATTTTTCTTCTCAGGTTTGAAGGGAAAGGAGCCTCGCATTGGAGGCCCCAAACCGGATGGCCCCAGACCTGATGGTCCCAGGCCTGACGGAGCCAGGCCTGATGGTCCCAGACCTGATGGCCCCCGGTTTGATGGTCCCCGCCCTCCCCGTGGTGATCGTCCATTTGGTGACAGGCCAGAGCGCACTGATAGAACTGTGAAGTTCTCGTCAGAATCTCGTGAAGAACGGAACAACAGGCAAAATCGTGAAGATCGTCCCTACCAGTCAGGCGGCGATTTCTTCTCAAGGTATGCTTACTCTTTTTGTTGGATTTGAAGTGGATTGAGTTGGTTCATTTTAATAGCTTAGTGCTGACTAAATTTTTTTGCTGTGTAGGGACCGTGAACCTGGAACCAGACCTGATGGCGACCGATTTGCTCCCCGTGGCCGTGGAATGGGACGAGGCATGGGCAGAGGCATGCGAGGTGGCCGAGGCGGCTATGACAACCGTGGCAAGCGTGAATACGACCGTCAGTCTGGCAGTGACAAAACGTGAGTTTCAACTTAGAGATAATTTAGAGCAGATTATCAGCACATTAGACTTGTATTATATTGTCTCTTAGTTATGTGTTAACAAGTAGGTTCAAACAGTAAATTTTGCATTTAGAGTAATTTAAAAAAAAATTGTACAGTTTGTGTTAAACTGTTTAAATGTACTGATTTGTTTTAATGTTTGAAATTATGATTGGAGACTTGAGCTAGCCACATTGAATCAAAATTTAAGTATGTCTTAATTGCCTGTACCACTGCCTCCTTGTGCACTGAAGCCTTTTCCCTTGCACCACCATTAAGCCTCCCTAACTGTTTCAAGGGCTACAGTTACTTGCTGTTAAGGACCTCCCTCAATCTGTTCTTTGCATGCTGAAGTCAGCTTGAGTAACCTAAGCACAGTGCATTAATTTTGCCTTCAATAAACATAACATAGTTTAGAGATGTAAAGGCTCGGTGTTGGCTGTGGTCCGCGTTCAGTTTATTTCATTAATTTATTTAATTTGCTGCTTAGGACTAGTCTCACTCTTAAAATTTATCTCGCGGCTTGTGGGTCAAATAAATTCAGAATCGAAGTTAGGCACGTTAGGAACGTAAAGAGGGAGTCGTACGGCGCTTTATAATGATAGCAGTGATACTTACAGGGGGGTGAAGGCTGTCGACAAACGTGAAGGAGGTGGCGCACGCAACTGGGGCAGTCACCGTGACGACATTGAGTGAGTTAGCCTTAAGCACTGCTTTGCATGTTTCCGTTGATAACTCAGCAGTACTGTATGCTGAAGTGGTTCCTTTGCTTGCTATTGTTTAGTGCAATTTGAAGTCTGCTTTTCTTGCTTGATCCTTGTAGTGAGCTTCATCAATACTCTAAAGCATTTGTCCTATTTTATTTTGAAATATCTTTTAATGATGGTCCATTGTCTATTAGTTAGTGGCTTTTAGCTGATTTTCTCCTATGTTTGGTTCCAGTGAACTGAACACTTCTGCTAATGAGACCCAGGACTGGTCTGGTGAGAAGCCAGAGGAGTCCAGCACCGATGCCGTTGTTGAACCCAAGTAAGTACTAGTCTTGGTTTTCGCTTTGCCTCCACTTCCTTTTAACAGAAATCTAAATTGAACCTTATTGTGAACAGGGAGGGAGAGAATGCCCCTGCCACTGGTGAGCCCTCTGAAGAAACTACCCCTGCTGAACCGGAACCTGAAGAGCTGACCTTGGACGAGTGGAAGGCTCTGAGGAAGTCTCGCTCCAAGCCCCAGTACAACTTGCGCAAGGCTGGAGAAGGAGAGGACCCCTCCCAATGGAAGAAAATGTACGCCCTGGACAAGAAGAAGGAAGAGCTGGAAGGAGAGGAGGAAGAGGACTTGGTAGGCTGAGTGTTTGCTTCTTTCTGGTGTGGTGCTGTCATGTGGGCCTTGTTTCCTGACTGGTGGCTGTGTTGCAGGAGTACGATGCTTCCGAGTACCCGCAGAGGGTGGGCCGCCTCAAGCACGTTCTGGACATCGAGGTCGTCTTCGGCGACAGCAGCCGGCGCGGCAGCGGCCCCCGTGGTCGTGGCCGCGGTGGCCCTCGCGGCGTTGGCCGTGGCAGAGGTGGGTTCGGTGGCGACCGCCCTGACCGCGGAGACCGCCCCGAGCGTGTGGACCGCCCTGATCGTGCCGAGCGCGACGGCCCCAGGGGACCGCCTCGCGACTTCGATCCTGCGACCTCGGTGAGTGCCTCGCTGTTCTGGATCTGTCACCGCCCTCGTATCTTTTCTTACGGTGGAGGTTTGCAACTTGGTGTCATTGGGCAAGGCACATGAAGTAATGTCTTTTATTTGTGGGAGACATTCTGAATTTGCCGAATCCTGACACAAGTTGCAGTTTCTGCTTCTTGCACTCTTGTTGCTTTATTCTTGTCTCTTCTTCATCTGACTTCTGCCTTCTTGTCTGTTTGTGCTATCAGTACAATGAGAATTATCAAAGCAGAATAGGACTGCGGGGAAAGGTGAGGGGTTGTGCATGCTTGTTGGTTGCCGTGTTTTGACTGTCGCTGACCTTTGTTTTTTCTTGGTTCCAGCCTCGCGGTGGCCCCGCTGGGCCTGTCGCTGGCGGCATCCGCCGTGACTTCAACAAGCCTGCTGCTCGTCCACCTAAGGTTGATGACGAACATGACTTCCCTTCCCTGGGCTAAGGCTGCTTTTCCGCTTCTAGGATGAAAACGTTTGGTCACTACACAGGCAGGGTCGCTAGTCTGCTCTTGACAAGAATCCTATTTTTGGACCGCCTGGAGAGTGAACCGTTAGAGTGGTCTTACTTATTCTTCTCACAATGTATCTTGGTGTACTCATACCACAACTACTCACTCATCGATGTCCTCTCATTCATTATTTTTGTTTCTTTTTGTTTGAAATTCATCTCACAAGTGAAGTTAGTGGTGAGGACCCAGTATCAAGCTGACGTGTTCTGCATTGTAGTGTTGGACTGTATCCAGCTCATGTGGTTGTAGCTGTTGTTTCTTTGGTCCATGCAGTGTTTTTGTGATATATATTTAAATTAATGCCAAACCCACTCAATATCACCTGAAGTACGGTTCTTGTCTCTGAACTGCCAAATGGTTACAAATTATTATTGGACGTTCCATGTACCCAGTGTTTGGTTAACTAGCATGTGCTGTTTTAATAGCCTCATCTTGTGTGCGTGTTTTTTGTTAGACTTTTTTAAAAAATCTAATTGTGTGCACACTTGGAGGGCCTTGAAGAGTAATTTTGTACTGTGAAACTTTTTTTTTTCACTTACATGTGCAGCCCTGTTCAGAATTAATGCATTTGGTGATTCAAAAAATAATTCACACTTCAAATGGTATTGTGAACAAGGCTGTTATTTTATTTGTACATGCATTTGCCATGTAATTTGATAAGCATTTTTGTGCTGAGGTCTGGTCTGTGACCAGAGTTGGACGGTGGTTGTCTTCTGTGGATGCAGGAAATAGGGTTGGGAGCAATCCCTTGGATCGTAACTATTGTTGGCTGATTTGGCAGCAAAGCTGCTGTGTGTCTGTGGTAAACTGCTTGTTTCCGCTATTACTTTTGTATTCATGAGCTCTAGGTAGTAATTGCGTGAGATTTATTGTTGCCAATAAACTATGGAATGAAAGATGGTACCTATAGTCTTCAACTCCTCATCCTATTCTTCCATTTCTATTGGACTTTTAAACTAATCACACAACATGAAGTAATCGCCGTTCAGAAACCACTTTAATAACATGTTTATATAGGATTTGCTTCCTCTGATTGAAATGTTAAAACTGTTGGCAGTGTGCCGGTGTTATAGTGAATCTTGCTCTTTCATAATAAAATGTGGGAAGCTCTCGTTTATGGGTGTGCTTTATTTTTGATACCATGTTTCTCAAATGCAGCAAGTTCAGTGAAAATTGTTGGACCTGAGAAATTTAGACATCAAAATTGGTCTTTACTCTGATGGAAGGTGTTGCCTTAACTAGTACAAATTTTCCAAATTGAGAGGGGAAAGCTCCGAAACTCGAACAATTGTATGAACTGATATTAATCATTGTTAAGTACTAGCTACGTTAGCTTGTCAGCTCTTGTCGGCCTCATAAGTTTTGTGAATGTACTTACTGAACTACTGGCTTCAGGTCGTACATGCTGCAATGAAATCTTGTGCGTCTTCTGTGAGTTCTGTCAAATCTGAGTGTAAATAGATATTCATTTTCATTAATAAACGTAGCAGTAGAACCCGGGTTCATGTGGCGTTTTGTTCTGAAATCCTCTCCTTGGTACTGATTATATGCTGTTCGCGAAGCTACATTCTCCCTTCAAACACACCCGCCCGATGGGTAAGGAAGGAGTCACGTGGTGTCCGGTTTCCGGTCCAAGAACACCGTCACTACAGCCGCGAACCTTCAAATTGATGTGTTCGCGTGCCATAAGAGCCCAGAGAGACCGCTGAGCACTCGAAGGCCATGGATTTGTGAGTAACTGGTCTCGGTACTGACTATACATTGTCGTAGCTTGCTTCAATTGTTTCTTTGTTGAGAGCTATGGGAGGTTATGTTACAAGTTGTTCTGATATGCTGGCTGTCTTAAATTTATTTTTCAAATTGGCCACCTCTGATTTCCTTTAGCTCGACTCCACCTGAAGACCTAGGAGCTGTTAAATTTGTGCTGGCGAGTCATGAGTGGCAGTATAGAGGAGAAGGGAACGCAAAAATTGCCATCAGTTTGCCAGCAGTAAATAATATTTTTAAAGTGCATTGTCTTACTCTACTAATTTATTTCAGAATGTACTGTATTTGTCCTTTTCCCTTGTTCTAGGAGAAAAAAGTTGTCCTTTTGCCAAAATCTGATAAAACTGATAATATCAATAATTCTGATTTTTGGCACTGGATCTCTACAAATGTGAAATTTATTAACTGTATCATGAAGCCAATTTTTGGAGACATGTTTGTTTCATCACCTTCTCTTGTTTACCTTTCATCTTATGACATTCAGCTCTTGAATGAAACCTTGGCATCCGTTAGACCAGGTAAAACTATCAAAGGGGAAGCTGCGGCTGTACAAATCCAAAAGTTAACGCCCATATGTTACAGAGAAGCGCAAGGACAAGGAGCTGTTGTTATGTGGTGGAGAGCTATGCAGTGACCATGTTTACCTACCCTCAAGTTTGTCAGCTTTCTGCAAGTCCAAGTCTTTTTGTATTGAATTGAAACCCAAGCAAGGAGTTTTTCCTCTTTCGGAAAGACAATTTAGAAACTGTTTGTTCTGTCGAAAACAACAACTGAAGGCAAAATATTCTCTCTACCCTCGTGTTTCTATTTTGGTAAAAATTATTTTTCTTTGTTAAAATTTGAATTAATATTTTTGTTTTAGATGAAGGAGGGTCTTGTTTGTCAAAAGAGCCTCTATTGTCCTCTAGATCTTTTCTCTGGGTATTTATGATTGATTGGCTTTTATTTACAAAGAAAGAAATGTTGAAGTTTTGATACTACAAGATCTGTATGTTATGTTTCTAGGTCTTGGGAGCGTATGAAAAATGCTCTCGTGTCACTTCTATGCTCACCTCAAAACAATCTAAGAATTTTTCATGTGTGTAATTTATTTTTCTGTCAGAGACCCTTATTTGTATTTTTGACATGATTTAGTAATTTTCTATTAAACTTTTAATTTTAGGATGGATGTCTTGTATATGATGAAGATCATTCAGACAGTGATTTGCAGAAAGTGCTTATGGAATGGCTACCCTCAGTCCCAAAGTAAATGCCTATTGGATTTTTCTTTCATTTAGTTCAGCCTCTTATCATGAATCTTTTTGTTGAACTTTGGCTTCAACTGTTTTTTAATTTTTATTTTTTGTTAGATCAAATTTAGTGGAAAGGATTTCTTCAATTCTACTGCAGGCTTTGACAAAAGATTTTTCGGGAATTGAAGGGGGCAAGGAGTCACCTGGGGGATGGGTATTTGAAGGCGCACCACCTTTTGACCCTGAGTATGACCTGCTAAATACATTACTGTTGATGGTCTAAGTGGAGTGTTAACTTCATCTAAGGATTTTTTTTCTCAGGATGGAGTCCCATGTCTACAGCACAAGAGACGCATTACCTCATTTGCCTCAACCTCCATGTAATTACGACAGCCAGGAGTTACCAGAGGTGGGCTATTTTTAAATCCTTTTTCCGAATAATTTTGTTACTTTTTGTTAAGAATCTATTCAATTGCCATTCTTCTGTTCACCTAGGGTTGTATATTACGTCGTCTGGTAGAAGCTCAGGCTGTAGATAATTTGGGGACAGCTTTAGTTCACGACTTGCTGAAGTCTCATCAACAATATTCAATTTCAATGGACTACTCTTTGAAATCTGAGAGCATTAATTATGTCAACAACATTCTGAGCAAGGGCTGTAGCTCTGAACTCGATCCCATTGAGCGGTATCTTATTGCTGCTGTAGCGAGGGACTGTTCCATTTTGATAACTTTTCAGGAACTGTAAGTTTGAGTTTAAAATTGTGCTGCAATACGGTTGGGTTGGATCATTAATGTACTGACAGTGTTGGTCTTTATGTGTAGGAAGGAAGATTGTAAAGAAGCCCAAAACCTGCCTCAAGTAGTGGATGAAGACTCAAGAACACATTTTTTATGCCATATTGCTGCTGTAGACTTAGAACCAAAGCCAATGTCTTGTATTAATTCACAAATGAAAAAAAAGGCTTCCATCTTGGAGGCGTGTCAACAACCTGTTCTCTGATTTGTCTGCAAAATAAAAATTCATATTGATAAAAGCCTGAGGTACTTATCTTCTTTTTCCCTATTTAACTGAGTCATATGCGTCTCATACATTTGAGAAAAAAGAAAGGGGGCAAGGGGACCAAGAATAAAATACAAAAAATAAAACTCCGTAAAAATTTATTTTTGGACTGAAAAAAAAATTTTGTTTTGAAGAAAAGAGCAGAAGGAGGCACTGCGAATAGAAATACTCTGGGATGAACACCCGCTTTTGCATACTTGGAGCTTGGAAAGGACTTCCTGTCGAATGGGTGGCCTATCCACTCGGCGCGCATGATGGGATGCCTATCCGGTAGGCGGACTCGCGGGGCAAACCGAAAGTGTTGCTGAGCCTGGGCAGCCTTCAACGAGCAAATACAGTGCTCGCACTAAGAGTCTCAAACAAAAAGCAGAACCGACCAAAGTGAAAATGTTCCGTCGCTGGTCGAGCGATAGGGAAACCAAAGGGAAACCCTGGTGAAAGGGGTGGGGGCTCGCACTCGGGGCACTTTATATGCAGACAAGATAAGCATGACCAACAAAGAGAAGGGCTGGAAAAAGGCCGAAACCACACGAGCCGTCGTACACTCGCATCCTGATGAGCAGCCCAATCCCCATTTCTCACCGTCTTTTTTTTTCGGTCGTCGAACGGAACCCGACAGTGGAGGAGGACGTACGACCTCGGCATCGGCAGTGTAGCGCCAGGCCGCGCCACGCCGTGCCACAGGCTGCCAACCTTCCTGTTCCGCGATGCTGCCGCTGCCGCCGCCTTGTCCGCGGCGCGAACGGAGACTGACGGCCAACGCGCCTGAGCATTGTCGCTCCGTCTCTCTCGCACCCCTTGGCAACGCCCCGTGCGTGCGAGAGAGACGGAGCGACAAACGCCCTGCAGGTCGAGCTGACGGCGCACAGTGGGCCAGATGACCGGTGGAGGCGGCCGAAACTCTGGACGCGTTTTGAGCTCCAGAGTCGCTGAATGGGACTCGAACCGAACGTGTGACCCCACCAATGGATTGCTCTCCGAACGAGGAATCCATTGGTGAGGTCACACGTTCGGTTCGAGGCCTGTTAAGCGACTCTGGAGCTCAAAACGCGTCTGGAGTTTTGGCCGCCTCCACCGGTCTTCTGGCCCACTGTGCGGCGTGCTTGACGGCCCCTCGGCGGGTGGCACTGCCAGGACACTGTGAGTCCGGACGGACGGCGACGGCCCCGCGGCCCAGCAGACGTGAATCGAAAACGGCCTGGCATCCCACGTCCGCGTCCGCCTCACTCGCCCCGTCTCTGTACGCCACGCCACGCCCCACGAGTGCGAGAGAGACAGAGGGGCGTGTCCGCGCCACTAGAAGGGCGATTCGCAGCGAATCGAGCCGGCCGTGCCGTCGTTCGGACCATTCGGCCATTCGGATGGGGAAGGGAAGGGCCAGCGCTTGGGCCAGCGCGGCAGTTCCGTGTCACTGCCGGCTCTCGGCACCGCAGCGGGCCGCGCCTGTCTCTCTCGCACTCCCGCGGGGTCCCACTGGCGTGCGAGAGAGACAGAGCGACGAGAGGGCTCGGGTCGGAAGCAGCCACCAGGCCGCCTGCAAATTGGAGCGGCAGGGTGAATGACCTTTAGAGGGTGCGCGCCGTGCCGGCCGTGCCTGGATGAGGTTCAACTCGAAGTGAGGGGGGGCGGGGGCGGGGCGCCCATCGAAACGCAATTGCAATTTGGATGCGCCGACGGCGAGCGAAAAACAACGGAAGGAGGAAATTGCAGGGGAGGCAGGGCAGGATGGCGCCGCGGCCTGGACATTTCAGCCCCCCTTCCACTTGGCAGGGCAACAGGGACACGCGAAAGGCTGTCAAAAGGCGGCCCCCTCCGCACTGGCTAGCGCTGCTGGCGCTGCCCGGACGGCCCGGCCGGCCGTGCGAGGCCCTGGGGGCGGTTCAGGCGCCGGGCCGGGCCGGGCCGGGCCACGTGACTCCAGGTGAACCACGTTCCTGGCCGCGCTGGCCGTCGCCCCTCGCCCCCCGCACACCCGCACGCCGCCGCCACACAGTGGGCCAGAAGACCGGTGCAGGCGGCCAAAACTCTAGACGCGTTTTGAGCTCCAGAGTCTCTAAACAATGCTCGAATCGACCGTATGACCCCAGCAATGGATTCCTCGTTAGGAGAGCAATCCATTGGTGGGGTCACACGTTCGGTTCGAGTCCCATTTAGCGACTCTGGAGCTCAAAACGCGTCTAGAGTTTTGGCCGCCTGCACCGGTCTTCTGGCCCACTGTGCGCCATGAGCAGGACTCGAGCAGAGAAACGTGACCAAGGCCCGGCGCACAGCGGCGCACAGTCACCGCGTCCTATTCTCTACTTATTGACCCTATCGCCTCGGCACTGTGTGCCGCGCCACGCCACGGCGGCCACTGTACGCGCCGCTAACCTGGATTCTCTCCGCGGACACGGCGCCGCCGGGAAGGAAGGAAGGACAACCCTTGGGCAACGCGAACCTCGACGGGCTTTACCAGCGAGGCTGCTGCTAGGCTAACACGGCCTCGCTACTGCCTCGCCGGCGCGGCGCGGGTCGAAATGGAGTAGCATGATTCATCGTTAGGGGTGGGGAAGGGAGGTTGGAGGGAAGGCCCTTAATAAGGGCGTGGCTGGCTGCGCGTGGGCCCTACAGGCCCTACAGGCCCTACGGGGAGCGCCAGGTCACGGCGTTGTCTCAAAGGGCCTGGCCGCACGCCACCGACGCGACGCCCTGCCCTGCCTTCGCCTTGCCGCCTCGCCGAACGGCGCGGGTCACGCCATGCCGGGGAGAGCGGACGACGCACAGTGGGCCAGAAGACCGGCGGAGGCGGGCAAAACTCACGACGCGTTTTGAGCTCCAGAGTCGCCAAATGGGACTCGAACCGAGCGTGTGACCCCACCAATGGATACCTCGTTCGGAGAGCAATCCATTGGTGGGGTCACACGCTCGGTACGAGTCCCGTTTAGCGACGCTGGAGCTCAAAACGCGTCTTGAGTTTCGTCCGCCTCCTCGGTCTTCTGGCCCACTGTGCGACGGACGCCTTGCGGACAGGCAATAGGCAACCGGGAGGCACGTCCGCCGCGGCATTGCCTAACTCCCAGGGGGCCGGCGGGGGCCCACTCGCTCTGTCTCTCTCGCACTCACGGGGCGTCCCGCACGGGTGCGAGAGAGACAGAGCGACCCGGGTGTGGCACCAGGACAGGTGACGTCAGGCTGTTTTTTTGGGCGGGTCGCCTCGGCCGGCCCGGCCGGCCCGCTGAATCCGATAGACGTTCGGATTTCGGAATGGGTAACGCGGCCGACGCGGCGCGGCCCCACAGTGTGAACACGGGCCCCTCGGTGTGGCCCAACACTCCCAACACTCCCAGCACGGTGGCGTGTCCTCGTGGCCTCACGGCTCGCCGCGCAGGGGGTCGTGGTGGCCGTGATGGCCGTGGACTGCGTGGTGCGTGGGTGTCGCTCCCGGTCCAATGCCAGACCGGCCCGCCGGATAGGGTGATACACTGCCCACTTGGTCCACTTACTTAAGGACTTGTTGCACCACAGAGCGTGGGTTCAGTTCGTCTCGGTGCGATCCGAGGGGGGCTGTACAGCGTCGCGTACAGTCATGTTTTAATTTTTTTGTGTTTGCGTTTTTCTGCGGTGGACTCTACAGGCGCTTCGGGCCGCGGCACTGCCAGGAGCTGCTAGAAGCCAGCAGGGCAGCCAGGGCAGCCAGGGCAAACCGGGCACCGTCCTCGGCCTCCAATTACTGCGTTGCCTTTGGCTTGCATCCACTTGGACGACTTGCAGTGTGCTTGCAGTGCAACGGCCATCAAGTTCGCGCAGAGTCCCTGCTGTGGTGCCCGCACTGCAATGTCCCTGCCGCCGCCGCCGTCTGAGGCCCGAGAGTGGTCGCAAGGCCCTTCGGCCGGGTCCTCCGCGGCACTTGGGCGTCGTTCGGCGGCGCGGCGGCGGCGGCGCGCGCTTTTGGCGGTCGAGGCGGACACGACGCGGCCGACGCCAGGCTGACGCACCACAGTGGGCCAGAAGCCGGTGGAGGCGGCCAAAACTCTAGACGCGTTTTGAGCTCCAGAGTCGCTAAATGGGACTCGAACCGACCGTGTGACCCTACCAATGGATTCCTCGTTCGGAGAGCAATCCATTGGTGGTATCACACGTTCGGTTCGAGTCCCATTTAGCGACTCTGGAGCTCAAAATGCGTCTAGAGTTTTGGCCGCCTCCACCGGTCTTCTGGCCCACTGTGCGCACTGCACGGTCTAGAGGTCTAGAACTATGGAGGTCCGCGGCGTTCGCCTCGTCGTGGTCCGCCGTGCCCCGCTGACGTACGGCGACAGGTGCACCGGTAATCACCTCCAAGTGCACCTCTGGCGATGGCCGCCGCGATGCTCGATGGCCGGCCGCGCCGTGGCCGCCGTGATGGAGTGCGGCGTGCCTTGCGGACTGCAGGGCGTGGTGCAGCAGTGCAGCAGCGCGGCGCTGGTTTTCTTATTACGGACAGACTCGATCCGAGAGCCGAGAGCGCAGGCCGTCTGGCATTTAAAAGGGGGTCAACGGAAGAGTTGCAGACGTTGCAGTGTACTGTCCGTGCGTCCGTCGGTTTGTCCTTCTGTCTGTCTGTCTGTCTGTCTGTCTGTCTGTCTGTCTGTCTGTCTGTCTGTCTGTCTGTCTGTCTGTCTGTCTGTCTGTCCGTTCGTCCGTCCGTCGTCGCCTAATGGCGCCATTCGGTGTAATGGTGTCAATGAACGTCCTCGTGGAACTGCAAAATAGCGGATCTGCGGCGTTGCTGGCGGCCTGGCGGCCTGCGGACTGATTTTCGTCGCTCTGTCTCTCTCGCACCTACACGGGGCGCCCTACGAGTGCGAGAGAGACAGAGCGACGACTCTCGGAATGAGTCTGCAGGGAAGGCCGAGGCGCCGGGCCGCACCGTGGTGGTCCTGGTTGGCACGACGTCGCCGGCGAGGAGTCGACGCGGTGCTCGGGCAAACTCGCGGCCATCTCCCTGCAGAA